TGGTGCGGCCATTTTGACTATTATGCGCAGTGGTGTTCTGCGCCGCTCGCGTCGTCTGCTTCAGCGGCTGCGCGCTCCCCGTCGGTCAGCGCTGGTCAGCGACCGTAACTAGCTGTAACCTTTGTACTTCGAGGCAAACTATTTCACAGCAAATTTCATCCACCCTCCTTTTAAGCCACAGTGGGTTTTTTCATAAATATGAAGGTTACTGTAAAGTGGAAAGCTGTGAAATATCACTTTCCAAAATAATTGTGGCATCATGATTGTCTTTTTGGTTTCTAGTTGCTATCCATAAGATTAACTTAAGCCCAAAGTTAAAGCACCCAACTCCCATTAGTTTCTGAGTAATTGAAGTTTACGTAACAAATTTAGTCGTTGGCTTAAATTCTCCTAGCAGAGAACGAAAAGTTGTCGAGACCTCTAATTGTTTTTACAAGTTCTAGATTGATTTGCCTGTCCTGTGGCAAAGACGGATTTCCAAATTTCCATAATTAAACATAACTTTTTCTCAAAAAATATAAAATAAAACCAAAATTTAACCAAAAATAGTGAAAAAAGAAAAACATATCTTTGATAACAGTTTGGGATTTGAGAAAATGGCTAGTTATTTGAAATATCTCTCTATAACATTTTTACATGGACCTCAAAGAACAATCCCAAAAAATTTGGCCAGAATAAAACAAAAATGAATGCGTGGCCAGTTGACGGAGTGGGAAAAAAAATTCTTCAACATTCATCGTAAGAGTTGAGTGACCAGCACAGGCACATAGATATAAATGTATCAGTTCATGTTCCATAAGTCGCTCACATAAGGGTTAAGGTAACAAAGACTCTTAGAACATAAAGTACCTCAATTCCACCTTAAGGGGGGACCCTGGTGAAACTTTCAAGTAGGCTTCAAAATAATCCCAGAAAGTTGAAACTTTGCTTAATTATTAGTAGGGCTGATATCAAGATTCCGCCACTAAAATTTGTCGATAAGTCATCAATGAATAGAGTCCATGCAAGACGACTCATGTAGGTGTCAACCAGGAACGCAGAAAGTCTTTCTACGACAAAATTTTTTGTCGACTGAGCAAAGCTGTGAAGTTGAGCGTAGAAGCCAACGACAACTGATCTCAATGTTATTTCCTTCCAAATGATAAAGAAACTACCTACTTAGCTTAAAGGAGTTCAACCTGTTGAATCTGAAACCTTCCATGCACATTTTTATCTATGAGCTTTAAAAATACTATTTTTGGCAATTTTGGCGATTTTTTCACCAGGGTCCCCCCTTAACGTGTCAAAAGATTATTAACATTTCTATTCAGGATTAAAATTATGCATTATAAGTTTAACTTTTGCCTATCAATTTTGATGATAACCAAATGTCATACATCTTACTTCAGGTCATTATGTTCCGAGCTGGAAACAATGTGATGAACTCAGGGTTTCCCTACAACCACAATTTTTTTTTCTAAACTAGTTTATAATCTCCTGTAAAAACAGACAACTTTTTTTATAAAAGTATTTGCTTGTAAACAAACGCTTCGTTGCAGACACAACCAGCGGCGGCCATTTTGACTATGTATGAGAAATTGTCCAGACAGCATCCGCCCGAAAGAGCCTAAAATATGAGAAATCCAGCGGAGCATTTCAGCAGTTCGCGTTTCTCCCCCTCTCTAGGGCTCTAGGCCGATCTGGCTGAAATGTTGCAGGGCCATTGGGTACGTACTTGGCTCGCCACACACCAAAATTCAGCTTTTTAGCTCAATCCATTCGGCTGTACTTTCCAAAAAACACTTTAAAAACGGCAGATAAAAGAGAACTTTTTAGGGACTTCATACTTTCAGTCAAGTTCCATATCACTTTTTTTTTAGGGTGCTGATGACGAAAATAGAACCCATTCCCACCTCCGACCCAAAGGTAAGTCCCGATAGTGTGGATTTTGATCATGGCCAAAATCCATATATTTTCGTGGGGATCACGCCCAAATCACGCCTATTTCGACGGCTTGTCCAGGAAAACAACCTGCCGAAGGCAGACTAGCGCCGCAGGCCAAGGTAGGTGTGAACGCCAGGTGTGGATTTGTAGTAACTGACGCAGCATCGCGAAGTCTGTTACGACAAGACACGGTTTGGCGTACACCTACCTTTTAAGGAACACAGGGGTAACTGTAACTTGCGAAGCTCATGTATAACAACTATGCCCTTGCAGGGGCGTAAACGATTAACGCCCCTGGCACGGCCTGAAGAGTTTAAGGGGAGGTTCTACTGTAAATATTGCATTTTTCAAATTGAGCCCCTGTGTAATTATTTGTTGCATAGATGTAATACTACATAGTAAACAGTCAACCATGAAATTTAGAGCCCAATACCTTCCTCCAAATCCAGTTGAAGAGGTTTTTCAGCCTATTTTAGCAGTATCTTTAAAAATTCTTCTATGCACTGTATTTCAACGGAAACTGATGTTATGGATATTTTTCATTTCTTTGGCTAATGTACAACAAAGCGTGGCATCACCAAGACATGGGACCTGATAAATTTATTTTGGCATTTCTCTTCAGAAAAAAAAGACACTAAAATATCAGGAGTTTTACCATTTTCTTGAAATATTAGTGACATGCTATCTTCTAAGCACAGCCTATGATTTTGTAATAATCCCAGTATCTTACTAATGCCACGGTTTATCAAGTATGAACCAAAAAAGTGAAAAATGCCCAGAAAATCAGTTAACGTTGAAATACTTTGCGTAGGAGCATTTTTCAAGTTCCGACAAGATATAGCAGAAAATTCCTCTTTGTCTATGGATTTGGGGCTAGGTATTGCTCTCCAAACTTCAAATTTTACTTCTTATAATGAAATACTTTAAATTTACAATGAATATTGTTAGTGGGACTCAATTTGAAGAAAGTAAGATTTTCAGTAGAACCTCCCATTAATGTCCTTTAGCAGGGCAGGAATTTGTATCTGACTTTTAGACAAAACTTCTAATGCCCTACCAAAGGCATGAAACGATTCTCTCCCCTGAAGAGCGTGAAAGACTGTTTTTTTTTTGTGAATGCCTGTAAGGGCGTAGAATACAGGCATTAGTTCCTGCAGTGTAGGATCTACGTACAGCAAACGTGTTGATGGCTTTGCTGCGGACTTGGTCCACGCCATTTAGCAGCAGCATCCCAACCAGGAGGAAAATGAACGACATGGTCCTCGCTGGTCCTGCCACGGAAGTGGTTAAAGCGGCAATGGCGCGTTCGGGACTCGCCGCCCAATTTCGCGTGTCGTGTTGGTTCGTAGCTTTGTGCTGCAGCTGCAGGTCACGCAGCACACAGGGCCAGCGCTGCAACTCACTTACTTTGGCTTAGTGACGAATGTCCTCTATATCTGATTTTTCAGGAGAGCCAAAGCAAGTCTCAAGATTGAGCTGGAAGATAGAGGTATTGGATTTGATGGTAGAATTTTATACCACAGAATTGAAGAAAGAAGTGTTCTTGGGGTTCAAGAGCCGTTGCAATCGGCAGCTTGGTTCCCGAGATAGTGGACATGCGTCATTTCTCAGCGTACGAAAATGAGGCCAAATGGACGAAAGTCCGCCGTACTTTGACAAAATGACGAAAGTCCAACCGTACTTTCACAAAATGACGAAAGTCCATGTGTAATTCGACAAAATGGCGAAAGCCCACCTTGACTGTGAAAATAAATGAAAGTTTTTAACTTGGGCATGTTCCAAGTTCATGCCGTCACTGATCTCATGGATACTCCTCTTGTTGGGAACGCACTGATAGACTATATCCTTTTTTTGCAGTTGGTACTATCGTCATTTTGCCAAAGTACGGTTGGACTTTCGTCAAAGCCGAATCTAGTAGAAATATTGATACATGCTTTTCACCTGGCGATAGTAAATCAAAAGTTCTATAACGCAGCCAAAAATCTCATTTTATCAAAATTTGGACATTTGTCACTATGTCAAAGTATCAGTGAACTGTTCGAACTTGACTGATATATACCGAAAATATGTGGCAATATATGACCCCACATACAATTGTATCTTGCTCGATATATTACACATTAGCTAGCCCAATTCGTGGTTTACTGAATGGGGTATTTCTTGGTGCTCAGGAATGCATTTGCCCGCATTATATTATCTTCGCGACATATGTCTCATTACCTGCCACGGCGCCTGTCGCTACAACCTGAGCCCGGAGCAGCGACTGCCGCCACACTCTGAAAAGTTAAGAAAGAGCTAACCTCGCAAATTTTTAGCGTAATTTGTCGTTGTGTGTCGTCTAAAACGCTAAATAAACCCTAGGTTTTTGAGTTTGTAGGGTGTACTCACCCGTTCATGCACTGCAAACCGAACTGTCTACTAAGTACACACTTACAAATACATGCTTGCAAGTACACACTTACAAACGCATGCTTGGCCAAGTACACCCTTACAAACGCATGCTTGACGCCTTATAACTCCATGCGTCTAGCATGCGTTTGTAAGTGTGTACTTGCAAGCATGCATTTGTAAGTGTGTACTTGGCCAAGCATGCGTTTGTAAGTGTGTACTTGCAAGCATGCATTTGTAAGTGTGTACTTAGTAGACAGTTGAGTTTGTTGTGTGTGTTCACCATGAGTGTTTCACCCCTCGCCGGCCGCAGAATTGCCTGATTTGTCTCTTTAAATCGAAGAGTGTACATTGCATGCTCTAACTGGAGCATGCCTGCAAGCACGCTCTAGCTGGCACATGCCTGCCAAGCTTGCACTTTCCAGTGCATACATGCCATGTATACACTAACTGAAGCATGCATCTAGTCCATAAGGGATAGGGAGTTGCCTGCATCAGGAAGCGTGTACATGGCATGTATGCACTAGTTAGTGCGTGCTTGGCAGGCATGCGCTAGCTAGAGCGTGCTTGCAGGCATGCTGCAGTTAGAGCATACAATACGCTCTTCGATTTAGAGTGGCCTGTGACATTTATCAGGGTATTGTAGTTAATAACCTCTAAAAATGCGTAGTGAATTGTTTAATTATTGTTTATGGATCTACAGTAGGCTTAGGGATGATTTCACAGTCGGCGTACACGCAGAAATGCGGAACGGTCGTGGTCTTGACCACGCTCATGTGGCGCGCTGATATTCGGAACTTGTAGCGGCCGTAGGGCATCACGGGGAAGTGAGGAAACGTCCAGCTTATTGTCTCGTTCTTGAAGTCGAAGTATCCCTGAAGAGGAAAAGTGATTACAGAGTGTAGTGGAAAGAGGGTAATTGGTATGTGACGAAGTTCAGTACAACCAAATTTCATGCGGTTCCAAGTAAGTCTCCGCCCACGTTTTTGTTTTCTTGTTTGTTTTTCGACTAGAGCTTTCGATCGAAACAGCGGCGGATCCACAGCCGGCTTCAGAGAGGCGTAAACACACTAAATTCTTGTGGACTTTTTTAAACGGATAATGATGCATGCAAAGATGCGTACACTCTCCGTCTCATATGGACACTTTATTCTCTTGCTTGTAAAGTTTTTTGAGCAGACGTAAATTGTACGATTTTCTCTTTGGCTATCTACAATTTTGATCGTTTTTAAGGTAAAATTATGTCAATGGATCATGTAGGAACCAAAATACACATTGCCATTGACAAAAAGTCAGGTTAAATGGACTAAATAGCCTTCAAAAGGGACAAGAAAGTGCAAAGCTAAAGAGAAAATAGAACATTCTACGTTTGCACAAAAAACTTTTTGGCAAAAGATAAAAAGTCAATACATGTCTGAGAGTGTACGTAAGGTGTTTATAATATTATAAATAATTTTTACATAGGGATGTGCGAATAGTTCGGTATCGAATCGAATCAGGGCTGATTCGATTCGGGGACGGATCTCTTTGCTTCGACCCCGAATATTCGAAATTTCGAATCGACAGTGGTTCGTCTTCGAATCCGTAGCTCGGGAACGGTTGAAAGTCGCGCGCACAGCGTAGTTTTTATACCAAAGCAAGATCAGGTATTTAATTTTTCTTCTTTTTGAATTCATACTTTATGCCCTTCCTTTTACATGTGTTTTGTGTTTTGAAACGCACTAATTTTTTCTAGTTTCAGTTCGAATTCGATTCGATTCTGAATCTTTATGAGTTCGATTCGATTCGACAATTTTTTTCCAGATTCGATTCGAAACTTTTTTGAAAGATCCGATTCGATTCGAAATGAAAATTCTTGATTCGCACATCCTTACTTTTACGTACACCAGGTATTATGCAAGGTTTTTTCTTGTCCAAGGGTGCTCCGGTGTACTTTGCCACGATGCGGTACATGTCTGGCAGATGCTCACGTAAAGCAGTACACCCAGAGTTGGGGAAGTTGAAGACAAACGCATTGTCTTTCCACTGGTTGTTGGATCGGATGGCCATGTCCACATGCGCCTGAAAATGACATTCTCTGCAAACTGAAGTGTGTACATAGTACACTCTTATTAGAGCATGCTTCCAAGTACACTCTTATTTACAGCATACTTGCTAGGCACGCGCTAAAATAGAGTGTGCCTGGCAAGTACACGCTAAGTAAGTGTGTACCTTCCATGTACACGCTAAAATACACTCGATAAGTCCTATCTAAAAGCATAGGCCAGCCAGGTACACTCTTATTTAGCGTGTACATGGAATGTACACTGTATTTTATTGTGTGCCTAGCAAGTATGCTGTAAATAAGAGTGTACTTGGAAGCATGCTCTAATAAGAGTGTACTACACACAAAATCTATGTGTGTACTCAGTACACACTTCTAGGTGCGTGCTTACAAGCATACACTTCTAGGTGTGTACTTGCCTAAGCACGCACCTAGAAGTGTGTACTTGAATGAGTACACACTTGTGAGGTGCATGCGCGGCATAGGGAAAACGCATGCACTCCTATGTGTGTACTCACTGAGTATACACTTATAAGTGTGTACTCATTCAAGTACACACTTCTAGGTGCGTGCTTAGGCAAGTACACACCTAGAAGTGCATGCTTGTAAGCACGCACCTGGAAGTGTGTACTGAGTACACACATAGATTTTGTGTGTATGTACACACTTCAGTTTGCAGAGTTATCTCCGTTGTTGCCTTCCCTTAGTTACATGAAATAGGGTAGTATGTCATTTATGCTCTGCATACTCAACAGTGTGCTCAGCACACTCTGTTCAGCGTGTACTCACAAGTACACTCCTACAAGATTGTACTCAGATGAGTACACTCTGACGAGAGTGTGCTTAGATGAGCACACTCCAACGAGAGTGTGCTTAGATGAGTACACGCTAACGAGAGTGTGCTCAGATCCATTAAATACATGCAGTTGAGTACACGCTCGTAGGAGTGTGCTTGTGAGCACACGCTGAAGAGAGCGTAGGGTAGTTCCCTGCGCACCGTGCCTTTTCATGTCAGAGGTATAAAACAGAGTCATTCCAATTTATTTTAAGCATTCTAACGGCTTGACCCTCTTCTTCTACACCAGTGCTGCTTAAGATGAAAAAAGGTTCGAAGAGTTCAGTCACCTGAGCCCTGTAGCCTTGAGAATTCCCATTTTGTAAGTTCGGTCACTGTCCGCAGCACCCATCGGTCAACTTTACCCCTCAGAATTGAGAAACTTGGCCGTCGCAAACGAAAAACAGCCGTTGCGCGTTGTTCTGTATTCCATTGTGGGCAAACACACTAAATGTCATGGGACTTTTTTTGTCCCACGGTTTATGCAATTTTAAGCACATCCGACGCTGATACAATTTTGTTCCCGTCTGGTGACACATTTTGTCCGGCGCCAGCTGCAACTTGTACTTTCACTGGACAATTTGTCCCGCCTGGCGGACACAAAAATGCATCACCACCGGATGTGCTTAAAATTGCATAAACCGTGGGACAAATAAAGTCCCATGACATTTAGTGTGAAATCTCTAATGGTGACGTTTGTGCTAGTTGTGCTTGTGCCCCTTATGGACTGCTAAAAAATGTCCACCATGTGTCAACTAAATCAGTGCTCACATCATAAAAAGACGCTTAAGCCGCGTTTCTTCGTGGTTTTATGTGTGGTAACTTTTCGTGCCGAAAGTGTTACTCCTCCCGCATGAGAAAATCACTGCGAAGCATCATTGATTGACGGCACGCCCAAGTATCTGACAAAACGGTGGGTTGTAAAAATGATGTAAAATTCCGTATTGGCTACCACAGCGTAAGCTAGGTGCACTCACGGTAAGAACAAAACCTTGGATTCCCAGGAGCCCTGTGCTATAAGGTATAGGAGTTTCCAGGAGATTCCTGGGATTCCCAGGAAGCATAGTGCTGAGAAAACCTTACAAACTGTTTTGGGCCTTAAAAAGAAAAGTAGTTTGTATAACAAAGTATTTTGAGCGTACGTAAGCTTACAAAGAAAATACTTCGTAATTGACGAACGATTTCTTCGTATAACAAAGTATTTTAGTTTGTTATATGCATGCTTAAAATACTTCGTAAGGTTTTTAGAGTGTGAGGTAATAAACCAGTCGTAGCGTGGAAAGTTGTGTCCTTGGATAGGGAAAACGGGGCCGTGAAGGTATTGAACTTTTAGAATCGAACAGTCCGTTTGACGCCTAAAAACTTCACTTTGTAATTTTCCGTCATTTGTAAATTCCGTCATGGTCTTCGCTCCTTTGACCCCTATGATACCCCTAGGACCTACCAATGCATTTCTTTGATAAGAAAAACCAACAAAAGGTCATTTTGACCCATTTCGAGCATTGTAGTCAAAGCTGAATTTGACCTTGCACTTCAATTTATCTTAAAATATCCGGATATTTTGCCACGCCCCCTCTCTAAGACGGTTGGAGCTAGAGGGTTGAAATTTTGCAAGTTCATTATGGTCAAGACATGTGTTATGCACACCAAATTTGAACGTGCTAGCTCAAAACACTGATACTTTGACAGAGTGACGAAAGTCCAAAATTTTGATAAAATGAGATTTTTGGATGCGTTCTAGAACTTTTGATTTCCTGTCGACTGGTGAAAAGCATATGTCGATATCTCTAATAGATTCAGCGTAGGAAAATACTTCAAAATGACGAAAGTCCAACTGTACTTTGACAAAATGACGAAAGTCCAGCCGTACTTTGACAAAATGACGAAAGTCCAACTGTACTTTGACAAAATGACGAAAGTCCAGCCGTTCTTTGACAAAACGACGAAAGTCCAACCGTACTTTGACAATATGACGAAAGTCCCAACTGCAAAACCGGTCGTAGTTAACTATTGCTTTCCAATTAAGATAATTATTCATGAGTTCAGTGACGGCATGAACATAAAACATGCTAGAGTTCAAAAGTTTCATTTAATTTGTGTTAGCAGTAAAGGTGGACTTTCGCCATATTGTCAAATTACGTATGGACTTTCGTCGTTTTATCAAAGTACGGTTGGACTTTCGTCGTTTTGACAAAGTACGGTTGGACTTTCGTCGTTTTGACCTCATTTTCGTACGCTGACAAATGGCGAATGTCCTCTATCTCGGGAACTAAGCTGCCGATTGCAATGGCTCTTGAACCTAAAGAACACTCATGCCTTCAGGATTCTATGGTGTTAAGGTTACTGTAAAGTGAAAAAATGTGAAATATCATTTTCCAAAATAATTGTGGAATCATGTTTGTATTTAGGTTTCAGGCTGCTTACTATAAGATGAACTTAAACCCAAAGTTGAGGCACTCAACTCCCATTATTTTCTGAGTTATTGCAGTTTACGTAACAAATTTAGTCGTTTACTAAAAATTCTCCTTGCGATGAACCAAAAGTTGTCGAGACTTGATTTTTGTTTTACAAGTTCTTTATTGATTTGCCTATCTCGTAGCAAAGCCGGATTTCCAAAATTCCAACATGAAACAGGAATTTTTATCAAAAAACTCAAAAAAATACCAAAATTTTACCAAATTTAAGTAAAAAATTCAAAACGCATTTTCCAAACAGTAATTACAGCTTATCTATGCATATATTGTCAAATCCGGCTTTGCTAGTCTGTTTGCATGTCCATTAAGCCTTAAAATAAAAAGTCACACCTCCGTAAACTTTTTGGTTCATCGCAAGGAGAATTTTTAGTAAACGACTAAAATAACACTAAAACCCTCATAACTTTGGAACTAATGGGAGTTGGGAGTCCAGTCTGTGGCTGTAAAAGTTTTTTATAGTAAGCAACTAAATCACCAAAAACCAAAGCACTGCCACCTATACTTTGGAAGATAGTTTTTTCACCTTACAGTAACCTTAAACTCAACCATCAAATCCCAAAACTCTATTTTGAAGCTCAAATTTTAGACTTGTTTTGACTCTCCTGAAAAATAAGAGATTGTGGACTTTCGTCACTTTGTCAAAGTACCAGTGAAAAGGAGGCGCCCTGGTGAAGTGGTGTGTAATTTTCCATCATCACGCTATTAAGTAAACTTCTGTTAGTATACTGAGGGTTGCGCGTGGCCACACTCAGATCGTCGTTAAGGGGTCCCAAGGAATGCATTTGAGTCAAAAAAGCACGGGAAAGAAAGAATTTTTCTCCCAGGTTTTAAGAACGTGAAAAGGCACGCTACACACTAAATGTCATGGGACTTTTTTTGTCCCACGATTTATGCAATTTGAAGCACATCCGACGCTGATACAATTTTGTTGCCATCTGGAGACACATTTTGTCCGACGCCTGCTGCAAATTGTACTTTCACTAGAACATTTGTCCCTGGCGGACACAAAATTGCATCACCACCGGATGTGCTTAAAATTGCATCATTCATGGGACAATAAAAGTCCCATGACATTTAGTGTGTACGCACGGAATTACCCTGTACTTGAGAGTACACGCTAAAGAGAGTGTACTGAGTACACTGTTGAGTTTGCTGAGTGAGAAAGGTTCCCTGGTTCGCTTGAAAGCATTACCAAAAGGTCGTCTGACACATTATAACTTGATCTCATGTAGCCTTGAAGCGTCTGCTTTTCAAAGGGTCTGATTGGGTTGAAGTGGCTGGGGCGAATGAACACCTCCGCTATTCCGTCCGATGGACACGGGTCGATGGTGTGGGCGAAGGCGATGAACGGGCCCTGAAACGCCACAAACTTGTCTATCACTGTAGAGAATTCCGTACTTTTGTACGGAAATGGTACAGAAAAATAAAGTACGGAGGTACGGAAAGAAGTACGGAACGTTCCGTACTTGCTCCACACTGAAAATCCAAGTGTGGGACAGGCATGCACTAGATAACGTGGGACAAAATGTCCCACGCTTGTAAGCGTGGGACAAAGTGTCCCACGCTTGCAAGTGTCGGACACGGATTTGTCCCACGCTTACAAACGTGGGACACCGTTTGTCCCACGCTTGTAAGTGTGGGACACGGTTTGTCCCACGCTTGGAAGCGTGTAACACGGTTTGTCCCACGCTTACAAACGTGGGACATTTTGTCCCACGATTACAAACGTGGGACATTTTGTCCCACGCTTACAAGCGTGGGACAGTTTGTCCCACGTTATCTAGTGCATGCCTGTCCCACACTTGGATTTTCAGTGCATATGAACCCATGTAAATGGGTGCGGAAAAAAGTACGGAACGTTCCGTAGTTGGCAAGTACGGACCTTCCAGGCAAATTATTGACCAGACAATGTTTCGTACTTTTTCCGTACTTTTTTCTCACAGTGTGAAGTGCCATAATTAAGTTATTGTTTTTTTTTTTTTTTGCACTAACCACCCCTTGATTTTTGCGATAAAAGAGCGTTTTGTAGTAACTTTCATCACATTTTTTGCAATAACTTTTTATTGCATTTTCTTTGTAGTCATTATCCCAAAAAATTGATATTGCAAAACCTAGCTATAACTTTTTAATTGCAGATTTTTAATAGTCATCATCGCAATAAAAAATGACAAGTTTTTTTCATTGCAAAATATAGACAGTGCACTCCATCGTACTGAACCAGGGTTTTTACAAAAAAAATAGTGAGAATTTCCCTGACTTTTCCCTGATTTCCGTGACGCGAAATTGCAAATTTCCCTGACATTTGAGCGCATCAAAACATTGATTGAGTTGAACTCGAACGGCCGGTGTCTCGCGCTCTCCTCCGCAGTTGTCCAGCAAACAGGTCCAGTGTCGCAGCAAATATATTTTTCCCTGACATTCTGCTGCATTTTGCGAAATTCCCTGACATTTCCCTGATTTCCCTGACCCTATTTTTTTCCCTGACTTTTCCCTGATTTCAAGGTTTTCAAGGTTTGTATAAACCCTGTGAACTTGTTCTTCGTAATACGAACAAAAAGCTGAGTACTACGACTGCACAGCGAAGGTAGTAACCAATGGTGAAGAGTTCTCAGTAACTTATGACCAACTTCTTCATATTACGAACAAATTTCTCTATATTCTGACAGATTTGTGTCGTAAGGTACTGAGAATTAGCTCAGCATTATGACTGCACGGCATTCCTCAGTAGGAAATTGGGAGTGTGGCACAGTGGGCCAGAAGACCGGTGGAGCGGCCAAAATTCGAGACGCGTTTTGAGCTCCAGAGTCGCTAAATGGGACTCGAACCGAACGAGTGACCCTATAGCAATGGATTGCTCTCCGAACGAGGAATCCATTGGTGGGGTCACACGGTCGGTTCGAGTCCCATTTAGCGACTCTAGAGCTCGAAACGCGTCTCGAATTTTGGCCGCTCCACTGGTCTTCTGGCCCACTTGGGTGCAGTTCGAATGACGGTGTACGTACAGCAAACGTGTGGATGGCTTTGCTGCGGACTTGGTCCACGCCATTTAGCAGCAGCACCCCAACCAAGAGGAAAATCAACGACATGGCCCTCGCCGGTCCTGCCACGGAAGCTGTTAAACCGACAACGGCGCGTTTGGGATTTGCCGCCCACCTATTTCGCGTGCCGTGATGGTTTGTAGATTTTTGTCGCAGGCCACGCAGCACACTTTGCAAGGCTAGCGTTGAGGGAAAGTTTACAACTTATTCAAACATTTCTGAACTGTGACATCAAAGTGCCGCTTTTTAGCTACGTTGTATCCGCTAAATATCATAGGACTTTTTTTTGTCGCACGAATGATGCAATTTTAAGCACATCCGGTGGCGATGCAATTTTGTGTCCGCCAGGCGGGACAAATTGTCTAGTGAAAGTACAAGTTGCAGCAGGCGCCGGACAAAATGTGTCACCACACGGGAACAAAATTGTATCAGCGTCGGATGTGCTTAAAATTGGACAGATCGTGGGACAAAAAAAGTCCCATGATATTTAGTGTGTACCGTTTTAAAAAGTACAATCAAATCGACTGAAATTTGGCTGATTAATTTTATTTTCCATCATAGCAATGACGAAAGAACCAAATGACTTCTTGGTCTTAACGACTAAAACGAATATCTTTATTAAATTGGACTCGACATTGTCCTACAGTTTTAGACGTTACAAAAAATTTTATTTGTGTACACAGCGATAGTTTATCTCCGGCATGTTTTCGATGTTTACGCGGGTCGCGACCGAGAAAGTCTCCTCAAACCATGTGAGGCAATGGTCTACTTCGAACTCCCTCCAGAATCCCCTATGTATGACTATTTGTTATAAATTACCTCTTGTTTCAAAAAGCCCCACCCTCCCTTTCTTGCGGTATTCCCCACATATTCGTGTTTTTTGTTGTTTTTTATGCTGTTTGTTTTTGGTGTGTGGAGACTCACGACCACGAGGACATTCCCATGGAGCCTGCAATTGCCAATCTCGGCAAGCGGTTTGAAAGTGCTGACACGCACGTGGACAGGAAAGGTTTTTTTATGAACTCTTTCAGGTGCCTGGTTTCGGTAACGCTTAGCCAATTACTTTACGGGCCAGATTATAATCTACAGTGGGGCCAAAAAACGTTTCCCTGCTTGCATGGCCAATCTGCGAAGGGCATCGCACCTCCTCGCCTGGTGACTGGGTGGGATTGTGTAAGTTTTCGTACCTTGGACCGGAGAAGCAAATCTGCGCAAATCTTTTCAGTCCGAGAAGAACAAAAGTGAGACTTGAATGCAAATTTAGCTTTACGGAAGCGGCGAAACGGCCAAGCAGGCGCTCACCTCTGAGTTTCGCATACTGCGTGCAGATTTCATTCTCAACTTTCGTTCCCGCTTTTCTCCAAAGTACCCTAGATTCCCTACAACTTAGTCCTCACGATGAGATCTTGATTAATTGTCTTTTGACGACCAGCCGTACATCCCGCGTCGTTCCCTTCTTATTTTACACTCCATATTCTTTGTTAACAGTATTTACTGTACTAACACAGGATACAGTAATTCAGTTTATTCTTTTCGACAGTGAAACATGTTATTACCCATAACAGTACATACAGCACACAAACACACACTCATAGGGTTCAGAATGACTGTTCATAAATGTGTCAATCGGTTTTGCTTTCAACACACAGAATTAGATTTCACCCAGGACGTCCCGGAAGTCTCAACACAATCAGGAACAGGATGTTTATTTGATTACATGGTTAACAAAGTGCATCATGTCCCTGTGAAAAGGATCAAGGCCACTAAACTACTTGTGGAAGTGAATTATTTTCTTGAACGCTTCGAACCCCACCGCATGGACAACTGCTGCCTGCGTCACCATTTTCCGGGCGAATGGAAACGGAGCTTTGTACGAGTACAACGTCGGATCGTGCATTGACTCTCGCAGGCATTTGTAGATGAACTGGTACTGGGCCTGCACAGAGCGAAACATAATACGTACTTTAAAACTTCCTGTGCACTGCAAGAAAAAAACCACAACAAAAGTAAACAAATTCCTGGAATTTTTTTTTAGGAATTTATTGTAGTTTGTAGGTAGTATTGTACCAATGGTGCTCTCCGAACGAGAAATCCATTACGGTCTTCTGACCCACTGTGCGACGCGCGTGCTCCCTTACTTGTTAACCCAATCCCGAAGTCGAAAGTTCTGGATACTTAGTACTTAATGGTGGCCTCAACTACTTAGGCTTCCGCGGCCTACGACGTCAAATTTGGACGATGATTTGTCACTGACCTGGTTTTGAACCATGAACGGTCTTTGAGCTCTGAGTCTTAAGGCCACTCCAAACACATCGATCTTTCTCTTCGCCTTAATGACTTGTAAGAGTATGTCCAGGGCGATCAAGGTTCCAGTTCTGCCTACACCAGCACTGCAACAAAGCAATCAAATCAATTAAGATCCTAAAATGGTTTCAATATCACTCAAAGTTGAAATAAGTGGCAAATCGGAAAACTTGAACCGGGCGCAGAGAAGACATGAATGAAGCAGAACTAAGTATGAGAAGAAATTCCTGAAAATGAGTGGCTGCAGAGCTGTTTTCTGACACAATGTTATGCTATCTTCTTGATTTCTTCTGCACTCAGTGATCTATGAAGTGACTTAGTAAGCATAGAACATTTTAGGGACACGTTGCAGGTAAGGTACAATGTGATGGTTCACTTTGCATCACTTGCGATGTGAAGGACCCTCACAATTAAGCAACAAAGTAGACTTAACCATGTTTTAAATTTTTTAAACATCAATCTTAACAAAAACGCTAAATTTTGACGTGCCAAGTATTGGTTTACATCAAATTCAGGAAAAATTGCATTTTATTGCCAACATCTTTTGCGATGGTATTGCTGAACTCTCACAGCCTTTTCCCTCTTTCATGACTACCTGCAGTGCACCAACATCAAGCCGGGGAAGATGGCTGCGTGGCGACGAACTGTCATGCAGACATGCAGGACGTGAGCCGACGATTCGGGGCAGCCGAAATCGGGCCAGGCGTGGAATAGAAGGTGGTGGACGACCCGGGTGTCCAAGCCCTGCAAATGCCAGAAACACTGCAAACGTAACTGTTTACGTATGACACACAAATGCATATTTGCACATATTAGGACATATTTACAAATGCACACAGCTGCATGCTTCGGCCCCTGAAATTCATGCCACACTATGCACACACAGAAGTGTGTACTGTACTTCGCACGTTAAGAGTATATTTGACCAAGCATGCATTTATTTGTGTGCATTTTTGTGAAGTGTGTGCTGAGTAGACGGTCAGGTAATGAAAGTGGTGTCATGTTAGAACGACAAATCGTACGATTTACAATGTTAATCTTATAGAGGCAACACACTGGTAAATTGAAGTGAATCATTTCATTTGCCTTCCGAGTTTACATCTGTGGAATCTCACAAAAGTTAACATTTCTCATTCGGTTTGTAAATCTAATGCATAGAAACTAAGCCCTTTAGGATTTGAGATACTTTCGGGCTTCATAAAGGTTAAGCCTTCGGAAAGGTAATACTTTTTCCAAAAAATTCCACCATATCACAGCCCTTTCAAGGAAATGAACTGATTTGTGCCGTTTCAGAGGTGTCACTCCAAATCGAAAGGCGGTAATATGTCCACCCTTTACTGGCGGTAATTGGCTATTGGCGGGCTCCAGGTTTTACCGCCAATACGAAGGCGGTACAGAAATTACCGCCCTTACAGAACCGTTTGTACCGCCTTTGGAGAGCTTTACCGCCGATTTCTTGGCGCACTGAGAGAACGTAAAAGGCGGTAATATTTTGTACCTCCTTTTTCGCACTATCTAAATGGCACGCAATTGGCGGTAATACTTTGTACCGCCTTTTTCGTTCAGTTTGTAGGGTGCGTAATTGGCGGGCTCCAGATTTTACCGCCAATAGAAAGGCGGTACAGGTTTTACCGCCTTTTCCACACCATGTGTACCGCCAATAGATTTGTAGTGGTGAGTCGTTTCATCATTTATTATCATGATGACGCTGCTTTGTGGTGCAGGCGGTATCTCTGAAGTTCACCTTCACCAAGACGATAGTCCGCAACGTGTATGCTTGCAAGTCGTTCTCCACGGAACACGCCACTGAAAGATCGCCCCACGTAAATCGGTCACCCTCGTCGGGGTAATACTGATGACACTTGGCCTGAAAGAAACACGAGAAGCCTTTTTAATAACCAACAAGTCCAGCGACTCCGCACGTTTTTAGGACACGCAAGGACACACTAACAAATGCATACTTGACGAGGGCACACTTTCAAATGCAGATGCGTAGCATGGAGTTAAAAGGCGCTCAACGTACAGATGAAAGTGTGAGCTTTGCAAGCATTCATATGGAAGTGTATTCTTAGTAGACAGTATTTTACTCAATGAAGAAAGGCCGAACGTATCAAACGTTGTTCCTATCTCGCAAAGACGTCAGGAGTTACCTTTCCGTCCTCCATGAGTTTCGTCAGCATAATGATGAGGCGGACTTTTTGCTCGTACACCATGAACCAAAAGTCCCTGGCTGTGCCTTCCTTGGGGCCCTGCGTAGCAATGTACTCCGGTTCCCCGGTGAAGCCCTGAAAAGATTGATTTACTCGTGCGCTTAGTGAAGAAATTGTTGAGTCGTTCTTTCTTTCTCTCCGCATTTTTTTAACTATGCAGCTCGTAGGACTTACGGCAATGAGCGAAGCGTTGATGTAGTTGGCAACGTCGTCATCGTCCGCACAGTGCTGCAGCTTTACTCGATTTCTGTCAACTGATAAAGTGCGGCTGTCGTCAGGATCATGAGGATAATTTGATTAATGAGTTAGGGTGGGGGACAACTTTTATTGGCTGAGCGATTGCGAAGCCCTTGCCGTGTTTGGGCGCGCCGAAAAGTGACTGGTCGTGCGTCTGTCTGTGACTCTGTTTGTACTCACCAACGATTCTCAGCAACTACAGTGGCTATAGTTTCAAGATTTCGTATTTAAAGTCGCCTTAGCACCCCCCAACACGAGTTTGTTTCAAATCGTTGTTTAGTATCGTTTGAAATATTGAAAACATATTTTTGAATCAGGTCATTAGCGTGGTTAGGTTGGCAGCGCGGCACCGCTTACCAATTTCTCATACCTGCGTGTCCGCGGCTCTCAAATACGGTACATAAGCAAATAAGCAAATAAAACGAATTAAAGAGCAGAAGGGTTTGGAAATGAGATCGCCCTTAGTTTTTCAACATTCTAGAATGTTTAAAACCCTTTTGGAACACCAACACAGCGAAATATGGAGAATGGATTTGAGAATGATTTACGTGTTTCGTTCCCCTCTGCCCCCTCCACTGTCAGAGGGGAATCATCTTCAGGTCAGTGCACTTTGACAAAGCATTGTAAAACGAATGTTTTTATTTTGACCTTTTGTATTGTGTGCATCTTCTTATTCCATTTTAGTGTCATCCTCTTTTTAAAATGTTCAAACTAGAGGAAATCAGGGAAATGCATAAATGACTTGTGTTGAAATTGGCAGGCATACTTAGTTTGGACTCGAGAAATGCATTCTTTTGCAATGCTCCAAGCTGACAAGAGTGCAAAAGCACTGGCATGTGTTTATTAATAGAATCAATGTATGGTTGTGTATATTTAATCCTAATAGAGTTTGAATTGATATTGGGTTCAAAGAGACGACTCAGGTTTTGAGCGGTGAGTCAATTAGTGCATAGACAACCAACTATATATATGATTAGTGATGGGATTTAATGAGACGATTCCTTTAACTTCACCAAAGTTAATATAACTGATACTACTTAGTATTGATCACATGAGTAAGATAAATTATGTCGGTTCATTAAGCCTTAGGTAGCCTTAGCTTTGGTCTCTATGTGACGAAACACTGGATTTGACAATAATTGGTCCCCGCTAACTGGTTCAGATCAGCCTACCCTAAACTGACTCTCTCAATATTAACTGTGATAACATATTCCAGTCAATATTGTTTTATTCACTGGTTCACAATGAAAGAATGACAAAATGTTTCATAAATATTACTTATAAAATTGTGAGTTCATAAGTTAAGAAAAAATAGTTATCGAATAGTGACCCAAGCATACGAGTAGCCAATAAAGCGATTGAATGCTGGCAATTGAATTTTACTCGACTGAGGGATTCGCTTTGGTGTGCCATCAGGGAATTGGTGACGACAGAGGGTGCTTCATGAAGACAAATAGAAACAACATACAGAAATTGAGTCTAAGGTATTGTGTGTAGTTTTCAGTGTACCGGTCTCAAAAACTTCATTTATTTCAACGCCAATCCTACATTTTCATCTAGAGCTACGCAATTTGGGGCCAAACTTTCCAAGATTAAATTTATGTGTTTCCCTGTATTTTTCAGTGCGCTGACCTCAAAATTGACCTCTAAATTGTCCCCTAACCCAAAATTTAACCAATTTTTGGTTAAATTTTTTAAAATTAATTGTACAGTGATTCTTGCAGTTTTTTGAGTGCTGATAACGAAAATCACTCCCATTTTAACACCAGACCTATATTTCCATCCCGTATTAGGTCATTTTGGACCAAAAATTTCAAGTCAAGTTTTAAATTGTTTCCTGCAGTTTTTGGTGTGCTGAACTCAAAAATGACTTCCAAAATTTTCCCAGACTCACATTGAACCGAATTTTGACCTATCTTGGACCAAAATTTTTAAATCGAGTTTGACATTGATCCCAGCAGTTTTTTGTGTGCTGATAACGAAAATCACTTTCATTTCCACTCCAGACTTATATTTTCATCCTAAATTAGGTCATTTTGGACCAAAATTCTCATGTCGAGTTTTATATTGTTTTCTGCAGTTTTTGGTGTGCTGAACTCTAAAATGACCTTCAAACTTTTCCCAGACTGACATTTAACCAATTTTGACCAATTTTGGACCAAAATTTTTAAATGGAGTTTGACACTGATCCCAGCAGTTTTTGGTGTTCTGAAAACGAAAATCACTTCCATTTGAACCCCTGGTCTAAAGTTCACTGAATATGAGCCCATAAGATGGACATTTTGTCTACTCAAGCAAAGTCCAAAGTGCACAAACTATGTCAATTCACATCGCTCAGCCACACTACGCGCCCAGACTAAACGGCGCGTACCCCTAGTTACGGTGCCGATCATAGATGTCTGCACATTAAGTTATGTATCATAGGACATTTTTCCCTCGAGTGATGCAATTTTAAGGGGGGACATCACTCCAAAAACAGTGCTTTTGTAAAAACGTCATTAAACCAAACCGAAAGAGAAAAATTGTTCATATTTTAACAGATAAAGTATAAAACAACACAAAGTCAATCTGCCAGGGCAGTACAGCGCTTTAGTTGAAAACACATATTTGAGTGTTAGGTTAGACCATTTCGCACTGTTGCAGCGCTGCGAAACGGTTTGACCTAGAACAACGAAATTTGGTGACAACCTTCCTAAGATGTCTGGCTATGGTGGGTACCTCAATCACATTTGAAAAATCATTTTAAGTTGTATTTGTTACGTACCAAAAAAATTTGTTTAATTTTTTTGGTCAAAATTGTTCAATTTTGCACGTTAAAAAAATAATAAAAATTGACCAATGCAAATTATTTTGCTACCCACCAAAGCGGCATGTCGTAGGAGCTTCCGTGCTAAATCTCCCCGCTGTAGCTCAAAAACTGCGCCCTAGAGGCCTGCAACCGTTTGCAATTTCATGTTCCGAGAAAAACGCAATCAAAGTTGGGGAAACTGGCCTTTTCCCCTACGCATGTTTGCGGCCCACAACCTCCTAAAACTGCAATTTTTTGAATTTCGGAATGCGGTTTTCACCATTCGACGCAGAAAAGAATGTTCTTTAATATAAACTAATAAAAAAGGTTCAATTTTTGACCATTTAAGAGTGATGTCCCCCCTTAAGCCCATCTGACCATTGTACGACTTAGTGTTCGCCTGGGTATACAAGGTAGGTGTACGCCAGACCGTGTCTGGTCGTAACAGGCTTCGCGATGCTGCGCCAGTTTCGACCATCCACGCCTGGTGTATTCACCTACCTTGGCCTGCGGCGCTAACCTGCCTCCGGCAGGCTGCTTCCCTAGGCAGGCCGTAGAGATGGGCGTGATCCCCTCAAAAAATAGTATTTGGTCATCAAAATCTACACCAATGGGATTTAACTTTCGATCGGTGGCCCGAACGGGTTCTATTTTCGTCATCAGCAGCCTCTAAAACATATGAAACGATATGAAACTTGACAAAAAGTTGAAAGTACCAAAAAAGTTGTCTTTTTGGCCCGCCCTTCTATTCCAAAAATAGGGGGAGGGCCTATGCATTTGCCTTTGTGTCTGTGTGTTGTTGTTGTTGTTGTTGTTGTTGTTGGCGTCTGTGTACAAGGAAGGAGTTGAGCTAGAGTAACCAGATTTGGAGGGTACTTCAGGAGTACCGTCCAAACAAATAATCCGGTGGTGCAAATCCCGTCCGGGTCGCACAAGGGCTGCTGCAGGTGCATCATGGTTTACATGAGCGGGAGGGGGATTTCCGCCATTATTGGTGCTAGCAGGGCACATAGGGGTATTTTTGGAATCGGGGCGACGAGACAAGATGAATGGACCTGGTCCCGACCCTATCGGCCGCTTTTACAAATTGGCCAGATCAGGATCTTCAAAAAAAGGGGTCGACCGACTAAAAAAATTTATTGCAGATTTCGATTCGTCTCAGCAAGACCTTTTCAACGAGGGGTCGGAAAGGGGGTCCAGGAGCCCGACTTCGTCTTTTAGTCACATCAGGATCATGAAAAAAGGGGGTCGACCGACTGAAAATTTTTACTTAAGTTTTGGATAGGTCTTGGCAAGACCTCTTCAACGAGGGGTCGGAAGGGGGGGTCCAGGAGCCCGCCTTCATGAGTTATGGGAAAAAGTGCGACGGACTCGTTTTGCGCTCCTGCTGTGCCTCTTTTGCAAGGAGTTGCAGTAGCATGGCAAATATGTGTATTTTCGGAATGAGGGCGAAGAGACCAATGAAATGGGCATATTCTAAGGACAGTTGGAGTAAAAAGTGTAAGGACTATTGCATATTGTGAATAGAAGGGCGGGCCTAAGTCACGATGGTACATCGATAACTTTGCTTTACCCGCTCACGGTGTGTGTGATGCGAGCGGGCCGAAGGCCCGGGCCTTCGACTGGCCAAGTTGGGTCTGATGCGAGGGCCGAAGGCCCGAGAAAAGGCCGCCGGCAGGCCAAGCTGGGCCGGCCCCCTGTCGAACCGAGTTGCCGGCGCAGCGAAGCGGAGCTGGCAACTCGGTTCGACGGAAGGGCGGGCCCTAGCTTGTTTCTGTCGTTTTTGAAGTGTTTTTTGGCTTATATGACCGTATGGATTGAGATAGAAAGCTGCATTTTGGTGTGTGGCGAGCCAAGGACATACCTAATCGAGGGGGTAAACACTTCAGGAAATCGTGTACAGACTACTCGGTATTACGCTGTATTACGGGGGTATTACACGTGTATAACGGCCTAAAAATGACAAAATTTGGCACATTTGACCCAGAAATGGTATTACGACCACGTGTATTACGCGTAATACACGGTTTTTGTGTACAGGGTATTACGCGAGTGGTTACCCCCTCGTACCTAATGACCCTGCAAAATCTCAGCCAGATCGGCCGAGCCGTTCAGGAGGAGTAGTGCACACACACACACACGCATGCAGACAGACAGACAAACAGACAGACAGACAAAACTTTTCAACCCCACTGGAGTAACGGGCTTCACTGTTAAGAGAAGTCGTTATTTTACAACAGTAATCCCAACAATTAGTGTTGTAATTTTACAAATATTAATTCGTAAATTAACAACAAGATTCATGACATGAACAATTGTAATATTTTCGACAAACTTAACTCATAAATTTAGGAATAAATTCGTAATTTTACGATGAAATCTTATTGTTACTGACGAAAGATCGTAGTTTTACTGATAAAATCGTTATCTTACGACTATTCTCGTTTTATAACGCGTAAACTTGTTTTCTTACAAATGAAGCTTTATTTTTAAGAATAGTTGCCTGTTAAATTTGTACCACGAACTGCACTGTTTTTTACAAAGAAAATTGTAAATTGACAATCTGTTCATCATTTTACAAACTGCTTCTAAAATTACAGGTGAAATCGTTAATTTACAAGTATGATTAAAAGCAAGTCTGAAAAAGTGCGTTTTCGTCCGTTGTTTCCTTACTATATAGGAAGAAAAAATGCCTGAAACGACCAAAATTTGAGGATAAAGTTTGTAAGTTTAAGAATATATTTCTAAATTGACAAAAAAAAGGTGGATGATCAGATCGTTTTTTAAATTTACGAGCAGTTCGTGGTACAAATTTAACAGACAATTAATCATAATTTCACAAAATAATCCCGAACAGTGTTCGCTATCGCTCAGCCAACAATTGTCCGACGCCCACTGCAAGTTGTACTTTGTTTCGGCGGGTTATTGGTATTTCCGCAGGATGTATTGAAATTGAGCAACTCGTGGGACACAAAAAACGGCTCATGTCATTGTGTTGTAAATGGAGTTTCATGGAGTCATCAGCTGCAATGCTTGTTGTGGACAAAAACGAAACAAAGGCAAAGTTGTAGCAAAATAAAAGAAAATTTCTAGGTTTACTTGTGGTCCGTTTTGGAAGGTTAACAAACTTTAACCCTTTTCCTAAGCTTTGTTTTTTTCTCAAAATCGGTCTAGAAAACAATTTTGTTATAAATTACATTCTTCCAAGCATTTTCTCTGCGCTGAATGCATGCTGCAAACCACATCCTATGTTCTAGATTTGTGCTCAAAATACTTTGTTTCAACAAACTGCTTTTCTTTGTAAGGCCCCAAATACCGTGAAAGCGAGTAATATGGACCACCAGTGAGTAATGTGGACCACCCCTAAAACTCTTCTTTGTGATCGGTGATGCCGCCTACCTGTGGCATGGAAAACCGTGTCTGTCACTAGCTTCCAAACTTGTAAGTAACTTGGCTCGAACTGATCATTTAGGAGAATTTCTGGGGTGGTCCACATTACCCACTGGTGGTCCATATACCCGCATTTACGGTAGTTTGTGAGGTTGTTTCAGTGCACTTACATGGAACGATGTTGCTGTAGCGGTTCTTGTAGGCGTTCTGAGGCAGTTTGCCCACCCGGCAGGTGGTGCTGGCGGCAGCTTGGCTGCTGATGGCGGAGAGGGCCTCGAACTCCCTCTGCATCTGAGGCGCGACCAACGCGCAGGGGGTCACCTCAGCCAGGTAGCGGAACTGGTACTGGGAGTACGGCGGGGGCACTCCGTACCGTTTTCGCTCTGCCATGCACTCCCCGAGGCCAACGCCTTCACCGCGCCGCCAAAAGCGACTGCCGACAGGAACAACAACTTTTAAAAGCGAGGGGGTAAAACAAGTGGAAATGTCTTTGAATTTCAGGGCACAAATGTTTTAATTTCACATGAATTTTGGGTGAACATCAATGAATTGCAGCCAAATATTCACGACTGTCGGAATGAACTTCACTAATTTTCCAAGAATTTCTCTTCATTTTGACCTAATGTCATGATCTTTAAACAAATTGGGCGAAACTCCACAACCGTCCTTGAATTTCGGTGCACAAATTCGTTTCAGGTTTCATATCTAGATGGTGGTATTGCGCGAGTATAATGGCAGTGAAATGTCCAAATTTTGTCACCCTTAATCCAACATGGTATTGCGAACACGTGTGCTGGGCGTAATACGGAGTTCTGTGTGCAGAGCGTTACGCGATTGCTCTACAAACTGAAGTGTGTACTCAGTATGCGTCTGTTGACGCATACTTGCAAGTACACACCTACAGATGCATACTTAGATGAGTACACATCTACAGATGCACTCAGCTGAGTACACGTCTACAGATGCATACTCAGCTGAGTACACATGCAGATGCATACTTGGATGAGTTACGTACGCATCTGTAGGTGTGAACTTAGCCAAGTGTACATCTGTAGATGTGTACTCAGCTGAGTATGTATCTGTAGACGCATACTGAGTACACACTTCAGTTTGTAGTGGGTTCACCCTCTCGCCTTAAGGCTACTGTAAAACTGGAAAACCTACTTCTCAGCAGGGATCCTTAACTTACCTCATAAGGGCATCATAACGTTATCGTAAGAGGTAAAGTTATTAACCCTAACCTCTGACATCTTTTCAAAAAGGGTAAGTTAATTTTTTGTGTTTTGAATTTGTGTAGAGATACTTTTGGAAGTACTTCCAAAAGTCCGTACCCTTAACCTTTAGCGAACATTGTCTTATGTTACGTTATGAAAGCAGTGTTAGTTAAATGTTAAGTTAAGGATCTCTGCTTCTCAGAATATTTTAGGCACACTGTAATTCCAACTGCTGACAACGTAGAAGTATTTTCTGTTTTTACAGTGAAGGTTACTTACGATTTAGAAAAGTATCTGACGAGCACGATCACCGTTAAAGCAGCCAAGGCGAAAAGACCCACGTAGCTGAGGACCATCTGCACTTCGTGTGTGTCAGCATCTGGGAATAGGAAAGCAACTGAATGCCTGCATTGAACAGTATAACGCTCTTCCGAGCTAGTCCAAGTAGAGAGAGAGAGAGAGAGAGAGAGAGAAAGAGAGAGAGAGAGAATTGATTTTTGATTGAAATTTGTTTAGTAGGTCCGCGTTAAAAGGACTAAAAAGTACCGCTCCCCATCAACAATAAGAACGCATGGCGGGTACACTAGTTCAGCGCTACAGAAAAACAACTTAATATGCAAAATAACACACACACACACACAGAGTTTTCTTGTTTTTAGAATGATTTATTGGGGGAATGTTATGTACAATGGAGTTTCTTGGGGTTTTGATTGATGCATGACGCAATGTGTACAAGTGTGTGTGTGTGTGAGAGAGAGAGAAAGAGAGAGAGAGAGAGAGAGAGAGAGAGAGAGAGAGATCTAGCGCTGACACTGACCTATCGAGACGTAGACCGGAGGCGACACGACATACACGGGCACTGCCCCGATCCGCGCCTCCACTCGGATGGCGTATGTCTTCCCAATGCGGAGAGGCCCGTTGCAATACGTCGTATCGTTTTCTTTGCAAACATTTTCAAAGCCTCCGATCTCATATTTGACATGATCCGTTTCGGCGTCTAAATTGGAAAAGGAAAGTGGATACATATTTTTATTTGAATTCTCACTGCGAAACAATCACGACAAACGTGACGCCTGGTATTCCCAGGCTGCTCCTACACTCTCAGCACGTTACTGACTTTTTTCTCATTAATTTACGTAATCGTATAAGCAACAATAATACTTAGTATTTTCAAAGTAAGTATAATTAATTTCCTTTGTAAAATTATGTACAAAACCAAACTGTCTGTACATGATTAAATATTTCCTATGGAGTTCTGTAAAAAAGAATAACAGGAAAAGTAGCGATATACATCGGCAACTTTGGCCCGTCCCGTACATTAACAAATGTGTGAATTTAACCTTTGTTTAACCCTGACGGATTTGAACCTGAGTCTGGGGTCAAAATAAATGATATTTTCGTCATCAGCGCCCTCAAAAACATCAGAAACAATGCAAAAACTCGAATAAAAAGAATGTTGAAAATATACCGCACTGGGATTTGAACCCGGGTCAGAACTTCTCCGATTCACTTGAAATTGGCACCGTTTGTTTTGTCTCGTCATCCAGATTCCAAAAATACCCCTACATGCCCTGCTAGCTGTATCCGTTGCCGAAATCCTCCTCGACCCCATGTAGACCATGATGCACCTGCAGCAGCGCCCCCGGGGCTCGGATCGGATTTGCTGCCACCGGGCGGTTCTTAGGGTCACCCAAGGAGGCTGCATACCAAATTTGGTCAAGATCGGACCACGGGAAGTCCTCGGACGAACGGACGGACGGACGCACAGCACGCATCATACTATATGCCCGTCCCTCCGTTATTTTTTTTACAAAAAATAAACGGGACGGGCCAAAAAGTACGTATTATGGTTACACAAATTACTTGCATGAGAACTGACAAAATGAGCAAAAAGTCAGTGACGCGCTGAGAGTGTAGAAAATAGACGCCTTTCATCCAGAGTGGGCTTGGGAATCCCAGGCGCTGCTGTAGACATGTGCGCCGCGCCGCCGCTGCGCCGCCGCCGACAAATTTTACCACGCCGCCGCCGCTGACCAAAAATTTGCGGCGCGCCGCCGCGCCGCCGCCGATGATTTTACCGGCGGCGGCGTCGGCGTCGCGACCTTAAATGCCCAAAATATTTGCATTTCCATCAGCAGCGAGCGCCCAGGGATAGGCAACCCGACGAGCACGTTCTCCGCCGCGAGAACAAAATCTTATTGGAGTGTTTAAATTGCTTAATTTTTACCTTTGTAACGAAACTAGTCCACCCTAAAGAACTAGTCCATCAAATTGTGTTTTCTTTTCATGGGCATGTTTTTAAATTGAGAAAATAGACCAAATTTAAGTCAACCACGCCGCCCGCGCCGCCGCCGCCGCCGCCGATCAAGACATCGGCGCAGACGCCGGCTAAATTTCGGCCAAACGCCGCCGCCGATGAAAATGCGGTCGGCGCACATGTCTATGCTGTAGCCGTGTGCAGAAGATTGGTGGAACGAACGACGAAATGGATTCCACTCAGTTTCAGTGACTCGGAACGCCGGCATAGGATCGGATCGATTCGCTTCGACGTACGTCGTCGTGGTCCATGGCGTACTCTCACAGGTTTTCCTCTTTATTTCCTGTAAACCAGCAGAACAAGAGACAACGTTGTGAGGGCAACTCTGCAAACTGAAGAGTGTACATAGTACACTCTTATTAGAGCATGCTTCTAAGCACACTCTTGTTTACAGCATACTTGCTAGGCACACGCTAAAATAGAGTGTACATTGCATGTACACGCCAAATAAGAGTGTACCTGGCAAGTACACTTAAACTGGCCCATGCTTTTGGATAGGACTAATCGAGTGTATTTTAGTGTGTACTTGCCAGGCACACACTTATTTAGCGTGTACTTGCCAGGCACACTCTATTTTAGCGTGTGCCTAGCAAGTATGCTGTAAATAAGAGTGAACTTGTAAGCATGCTCTAATAAGAGTGTACTGTGTACACACTTCAGTTTGAAGAGAATGAGAGAAGTTCAATCACTAACAGGTTCACACTTGAAACTTCCTATGATGCGACACATCAACCAAAAGAATTAGAAAATCTTCAAAAAATTGAAGAAAATAACACAAAAATCGATTTAAAGAACGGCATTTCTCGTAGAAACAAGTTTCCTGCTGCGAACGTGTGTGGACTGAAGCTTAAGGATAACTTTAGCCCATAGAAAGCACTCGGAGAAGGAAGCTCGGTCAAAACTGTTATCTGGTTGATTTTGAACTAAGTTGACTCGAAGGAGACGAAAAAGAAAACCAATATTAGTTATTTCCTCGAACAATCAAAAAGGCAGTGAGCATTCATTCACTCCTAAGTCCATGCCAAGGACTCTCCAGTATTTTATGAACCCACAAACAATTTCCTTTGCATTGCAAAGTATTTCTTTGCAAATTGAAAAGAAAATCCTTGGCAACTTAATAATATATAGCTTCACAACGGCCGAAGTCACTGGGCCTGTCAGAGTTTGACAATAAATTACCTTTTGGGATGAGTCTGACTCTGTCACGATTATGGCATAAAAATCTGGGTATCCAATGAACAAAGACTTCGGGAATCGGACAACAGCGGCACCGTAAGACAAAGGGACAGCTGTGATGTTTGGAGGGCCTTTCGCCAAACCTTAAACAAAAGAAAAGGAGGGACAGAGAGACAGAAAATACCCAGAAATTGCTTTAGTTTGGTTAGGTTCTTTTGATATGTTATAAAGCCTGGTACAATTTTACAGTGCGGGTGCTCGATGTATGCAGGGGTAGTTTTTTGGTATCAAGAGCCGTGGGATCGAAAAGTTAAACATCAAAAACTTGTTTGAGTGAAGTGGCAGGTAGATTCAGTTGAAAGAGGTGGTGTTCCTGCGAATCCGGCGGTTTCTTTTTTTTATACAGCACTTAGTGGTTTAGTAATTAGGTTTACCTAGGGTAGGCAAGGTATAGTCTGCGTAAATAGGCGCTGAATATGAACCCTGCGAATTTTTCACTTGAATAGAAGTCCTAAGCCTTTTGCCAAGGAGAGTGCACCAATCTAACGGCGGGATCACATCCAGCAGTGGAACCTGATAACGGCTCGACGATTCACAAAAGTACTTCATACGAAAAAAAGAAACAAAAGATAACAGTCAACGAATATTATTTACTGTAGGTATCAGGTCTGCACTGTAAAAAATAAATCTCCGTAATTAACGAGGGTATCTCCAGCACACATATTGCTAAAGGATCCTTTGTAAATTCACGAAGATTCTTGGTAATTTACGAAGATTCTTGGTTATTCTCAAAGGCTCTCCGCAAATCCACGAAAATTCGTCGAAAATCAACGAAGATTTCTCACAACTTTACAAAGGAACATTTGGCAAACGCTCTTTCAGCGGCACCTTCGTTAGTTCCCGATTTATTATTTACAGTGATTCCTTTCTTTCGATTACCTGAGACATGGTATGCGCGCTGATTTTCTGTTCGTACTGATCCACAAGGGTGTTCTGGATTCTGTATTCGGTGATCAGTCCGTTGCTTTCACATGGCGGGGCTATAGTCATAATCAACTGCGACAAAATCGATTGGTTGCAAAGGAAGTTGAATGGGGTCACGTCGAACAAAGCTGGTGGACCAGGAACTGCGAACAAGGAGATTTCATCAGTGGTCAAGTCCAATGATCCTCGGAGACCGAGACCGACCGAAATTTCTGAAAAACGTTCTCGTTTTTTCACATGATCGCAATATTCAAAATGTGGCCAATTTTTCTCCCCTAAAATATGTTCGCAAAGAATTCGACATTGGACTTGGCATACTCGAAAAATGATCGACCCTTTCGTGAAACGGATTTCCTGACTAAGAATCGATTCAGGACCAATTCGAGCGATTTGGATCAATTGGCAGGTGCGGTGTGGTGCCTCCGACCAATTGTAGGAAAGTAAGAAAAATGGTGCCAAATTTTAAGGTTTCGGCTAAAAATAGGTCACATATTAACAAAATTCAGAGGTCGAGTTTCTATTACAACCGTTTGGTGGCGTGCTGAGCACCTCAACCACCTCAACGTTAAACAGCATGCAAGCTTTGGTCACCAGAAGACCAATTAAGGTGAGCTTAATTTTTTTGTCTTACCTTAAAAAAATAATAACTCTCGGCTCGAAGTCTTTTCGATTCAGTTTAACTTTAAATCTTATAGACCCTTTCAGTCGTCGCCGAGTGGAGAACAAATGAAATTAAAAAAGCCAGGAACGAGGGGGCAACCACTCGAGAAATCCTGAGTCCCCTGGAGCCCTAGAAATCTCTGGATATCCGAAATCGTTCCCCAGAAAAGGCCAAAAACTGGCAGACTTTAGGCTTTGAAATGGACGAAATCTGATGAAATATCTTGGGTGGAGAAATCTTGTGTTTCCAAACATCGTACGTGCACTCTGGGAAAAAATCACAGTAAATCCTGTAGTGTACATCTCTCACTGTAGTTCAGAGTACAGGATTTACTGTACTTTTTTGACAGGATCTACTATACTTTGTACGGGATTTACTGTACCACAGGAGTGGAGTACGGAATGTCCTGTACCAGGTACAGTAAATACTGTAGCCAAGCACAGTAGATCCTGTGTTCTAAACTACAGTAAATCCCGGCAAAAAAATTAACGGGATTCACTGTGGTTTTTTCGCTCAGTGTGGTTACCCCCTCGGTCAGAAACAAACCACTAGAAACGTATATGTAGACCTACTGGTTCCCTGGCTTTTTTATTTCTTTCGTTCTTTACTCGGCGCCAACTATAAAAAGGTCTATTCTTCTTTCAAGAACAAAAGAAAGTTGGGCTGAAATCTGAGTTAAATCTCTAAATATGTTCCCTTGAGAGAGTCGTCATCCACGAAGACCTACCTTTTTCGGGCGTTGAGAAGGATATTGGTTCGCTGGCATTCCCACCCACCGTCCGCACTCGAACAGTCCACATGTTTCCACCGGGAAGCAACTCACGCAGCCCCGCACAACACGTGCATCCAGGAGGGGCGTAGAGCTGGTACACTGGGATGTTGGGACACTGCCCCGGCAAAATAGGGTAGAACGGATGGCTGTGCAATCACATTTTCAGGCGTGAGAGAAGCACGTAATACAATCGGGTTCATAGCACGCTTGAAAACTTCCGTTTGCCAAGTGCTGTGAGCATACTCAGTTTGTGATATGACGAAACAGTTCGTAAATAATTACGAACTGTTTTCTTTGTAAGCTTACGTATGGTCCAAATACTTTGCTATATGAAGCTACTTTCCTTTGTAAGGCTAAAAGACTTTGTAAGGTTTTTAGAGAGAGAGAGAGAGAGAGAGAAAGAGAGAGAGTTTCTGTTCAGTGATCAGGATCATTATGTCCTCAAATTGGTTCGAAAAAGATATTGAATTCAATAAACAAGGTAGGTGTACGCCAGACCGTGTCTTGTCGTAACAGGCTTCGCGATGCTGCGCCAGTTTCGACCATCCACGCCTGGCGTACCTACCTTGGCCTGCGGCGCTAACCTGCCTTCGGCAGGCTGCTTTTCTAGGCAGGCCGTGGAAATGGGCGTGATCCTCTCAAAAATAACATTTGGTCATCAAAATCTACACCAATCGGATTCAACTTTCGGTCGGGGGTCCGAACGGGTTCTATTTTCGTCATCAGCAGCCTCAAAAACATATGAAACGATATGAAACTTCACACAAAGTTGCAAGTACCCAAAAAGTTGTCTTTTTTCTGCCGTTTTTTAAGTGTTTTTTGGCTAATATGACCGAATGGATTGAGATAGAAAGCTGAATTTTGGTGTGTGGCGAGCCAAGGATATATCTAATGACCCTGCAAAATCTCAGCCAGATCGGCAAGGCCGTTCAGGAGGAGTAGTGCACACACACGCAGACAGACAGACAGACAGACAAAACTTTTCAACCCCACTGGAGTAACGGGCTTCGCTATCGCTCAGCCAAAAATTGTGATTCTTCTGCAGGACATTCTCTAATGTCTTCTCTTCGAAAGTCATCCTTTTAAAAAAAACTGTAGGGTCAGTTGGGGTAGTAATGGGACAGTTTGAATAATAAGGTTTCCACAACTCTGCAATGGCGAGTTGGAGTGTTTCTAATCCTTTTAAAGGATAGGGTTCTCTGTTCCACACCATTTGGCGTTAAAATGAGATGAAAAAGTTATTTTATTTTGAAGTTGTGTAAAATAAACTATGAAAATTCGGACGTGTAAATTTGGGGTAAGAATGGGACACGCTATGGGGTAAAAATGGGACAGGGGCTTAGCAGTGGTAAAACAGGCCTCAAAGTTTTCCAAATAGACACCACTCAATAAAATTCGATCCGTCTCAACACGAGGAACAATAAACGTCATCACATGCCACAAGTTCGGATGAAAAATGAAAAGGCATTGCGCTTCAAAAGAACTTGGGTGCAATTTGACCTTTTGCGACTAGCCTATTTGTTTATTTCAAAGCCCATTAACTTTTTAAATATCCGTCCAAACCCATAGCATGTGTCGACATTTTTTGTTTGAATTGTCGAGGCCAATCTATTTCCGTTCAGAGATGTCAATTCGAATAACTTTGAAAATTTTCTGCCCTAAGGCCACAATTTACGATTAACCAAGTGTCCCATTTTTACCCCAGGAGTGTCCTATTCTTCCCCAAAGTGGTGTCCCATTCTTACCCCACCGGAAATTTCTACAATTGCAAGTTAACGAATGCATTGATGTCAAAATGAGTTGGTGGATCGAAATCCTCGTTCTTTTAGCTTTCCAAAACAGTATAATACTTTACTTTTGTTTATTCTGTGGTGTTCAAATTATATGACCTCTGCGGCAAATTTTTCCAATCTTTAGAAAACCCATAATTGCCATGTTCTACTTGATTTCTCACTTCCTGTTTCTATGAGCAGTCATTGAGGCGCCGTATGAAAAATAGAATACTAGACACCTTAATGAACATTTTAGGCACAAACAGGTCATTGTAGGACGTTTTAAAATGCCAAAACTCGTCAAAATTAGAAAGTGTCCCATTTTCCCCCAAGTTTTCAGTGTCCCATCATTACTCCAACTGACCCTAAGTGCACCAATTTCTGAGAAAATCCACCTCACAGTCGGCCTTTTTTGGATGGCGTCCTACGGGAAAGCGTGGCTGCAGCCCGCACAGCAGTGTTGTGCGGACGACTTTTCATCAAAGGCTGCCCTGCAGAAGAATCAGAACTTTTTTTTATTGGACTCAATATCTCGTCCAAACCACTTTAAAAATTTGGAAATGCTCTCTTATTGCACGCAACGATCCCAAGGGTTCTTTCGAACGGGATTGGAATCGTTGTATGCAATGAGGTAGAGAGACGTGCCAGGTGAAAACCATATATCAGCAAATATCAACAAGATAAAGTATAATTTGTCGCTCTCTAAAAATGCTCAGTTGGATAAAATACTAAAAACATCCATGGGTGTAAAGATAGTAAATTATTGCAATGAGAGTCTTTGATTCCAGAAGACTTTCGCTGGCGTCGGCTGCTTCTCGAAACCGGGTTCCGAAGCACAGTGGGCCAGAAGATCGGTGGAGGCGGCCAAAACTCTAGACAGGTTTTGAGCTCCACAGTCGCTAAACAGGACTCGAACCGGACGTGTGACCCCACCAATGGAATCCTCGTTCGGAGAGCAATCCATTGGTGGGGTCACACGTTCGGTTCGAGCCCCAGTTAGCAAATCTGGAGCTCAAAACGCGTGTTGAGTTTTGGCCGCCTCCACCGGTCTTCTGGCCCACTGTCCGAAGGCTTTGTCAAGTTTGTAACAACGGTAATTGGATGCTCACTTCACGTACTTCAGGTTCGTTGACTTTGTCTTGTTGATTGGGATAGCTTCTACCAAGTACGCGGCATTCAAATCAGAAAAGTCATCGCCCCAAGCTACAGAATCTTCATCTTTCAGTGTAGGATGCACTGGTGCGTTGCTATCTGGAAAAGCAGTTCACATTTACTGACCAAGTGCATTGACAGTAATAGGGTACTTCGTAGAAGAGCTGGAGCGGAAGTTGGGAAGAAATCACGAAGAACGAAGTATGCGAAATGCGTAAGAATGAGCGTCTGCGTCGCCGTTCTGCCGCTTCCGCAGAGTTTTTCATACAAGTCCGTCGTTTCTTCTTGATCTCTTCTCAACTTCCGGTCCAGCTCTTCTCCGATGTACCCTATTCAAAGTGCGAGACATCTCACCAATTTTCGGCGTTTTAAAAAGTACCGCCGAAAAAAGATCGTACCTAATGCATGGCCATAAAAAAGTGACTCTTCAGTTTATGACAGGATAGAGATCAGCGAGACTGACCCTTATTTGCCACGTTTTAACGCTGATAGAAAAAACAAGAAGGAAAGACATCAAAGAATTGATATCACACGGGAGGGACTCGTTCTTTACAAAGCTAGATTGATGTGTCAGTCGCTGATCGTTACATGAATTGTCCTCTGACGATTTGTAATTTTGCCTTTTAACGAACGCTTCCGGTTGGTTCTCCTCTTAGGCAGGGAACATCGATGCATCGCGATATCTCGAGATATCGATTCTCGTGAATAATCGAATTTACACTAGAGTCCGTGCCAAAAACCTGCCTTTTCCATGACCAAAACCCTCATGACACATTTATTTTAGAAAACAGTCAGATGAAACTTATTATTTCATCTCTCATCTCGAACATAAGACGTGCAACACCATCAAAAAGAAATTCACTAAGATGACACAGCTGGCATTCTGAGACATGTATCATGGTTAGGGTCAAACAATGTTTCGTCATTACCAAATTTCTCAAAATTATCCATAGTCACTTGGAAAAAACCCTCCTAGATTTTTGTTGACCAAAGATCTCAAGTCATTTTTGTTGTACTTTGCGTTTCAGTGGCGTTCAACACCAAATGATACAGACACGTGGAAAGAGGTTAGTTTCACATAATGCACAAAAAACGTCTCTCTTTCATGTTCATTTTCTCAATATTTCTCATTGCAAGGAAACAAAAACTTCATTTACGATCAAGCGACTGACACTCCATCTTTCATTTGATACCACTCTCATTTTCCCACATGCTGTGAGATCTGAGATGAAAGATGTCCCCCCAAAACTCATTTTTGCACACAATACTCGTTCTCTCCACATAGCTTTTCGTATGTCAGTGTGTGGTGTGTAAAGAACGAGTAAAAACAGGTGCTACCTATGTCTCACCCTTTAAAAGGTGGTGAAAAGTCTCACCCTTTGACTTCAATTTCTTTTATGACAAGATTATGGTAGAGTTAATTACACATGCCTCTTTCACTGGTAATACTAAAGCGTAACTCGATGCTTGAGTCAAGCATCAAGTTACGCTTGAAGAAGTTACGCTTGAAATCAAGCATAGACCAGCAATTCCTCCATGCATTTAGATAGGGGGAATCTTGGCGGATGAGCCTTTTGCGCTTGATTTCAAGCGTAAACTGATTACGCTTCAAAATAGTGATAGTGGGTAATACTACACTCTACCAAAAATGTCCTGTAAATGCCGTTAATTTATTACCAGTTTTCACTGTAGGTCAATTCACAGTGTTTACTGTGATCTGCTCACGGGATTCACTGTGATCTTGTTCGCGGTGTTCACTGTGATCTGGTCCTCAGTAAACACTGTGAGTTTGACGCCGCTGAGCACCGAAGTACTGCGAACCAGGCTCCAATTCACGGCGTTTACTGTGGCCAGATCACAGTGAACACTGTAAACGAGATCACAGTGAACGCCGTGAACTAGTTCACAGCAAACGCCGTGAATCGCATAACAGCAAACATTGGTAATAAATTAACGGCGTTGACAGGACAGTTTTTGTAGAGTGTACGCTTTAGTTTTACCAGTGTTCGTACCTGACGTTGAGGTCGTAAAAGTGATGTACTTGGCACAGTTGGACTCGTCTTCGCGCATCACATATTTCGCTGAGCACGCGTAAGTAGTGTTAGTCTGAAGGCCACTGAGTTGACTAGTGACATCAGTGTGATGAGGTAGAACGATGGACAAAATGTCAATAGTATGCGCTGCTGGATCTTCCGTATCTTCGCAGAAAACCTGTGTTCAAATCGAGGGGGAAATCACTCTCAAAAATTGTGACCCGACTCCTCCCTATGACGTTCTATTATGCTTAGAAGTCTTATTACGTTTTCAAATATCAAAGCCAAAATCAGACTCTTATAACGGAAAATTCAGAAAATTTTGGCTATTACTGTTGCGCGTAATACAAGGAATCGGTGACCCGACTACTACGCGAGTGATTTCCCCCTCGGTTCAAATGCCCTTTACTGAACCAAAGCCGGTAGAGAAATATACGATCGCCAACAGAATGTGAGCCCTAGCTTCACACCAAGTTCAACGTTGCCAGAACCGTTAAAGCTATTTTGGCAAAACGAGAAACTACTTCAAAGTTTTTGAAATTCTCCTTGAAAAAATAACTTGACTGTGCTTCACTTTGTTTTACGGTTTTTTTGGTGGGCGTAGGCGATCTCCAGGGAGTTTCTGAGAAAACCGGGCTTTCCTTTCGCCGGACACTTATATTTTTTTCTTACCATGAGCCTTATGGAACTGCGACAACCGGCCACGATGTTTCCTGTGTCCCATTTAATTTCAACCTGGGTGCCTCGTATTCGTAGCACGTCACCGTCCCCTGGAGATGGCACTTCCAAGGGCAAAAGGAAAGCGTTATAATTCAGTGAACAAAAGAGAGAGATTTGTTCTTAGATTGTACACGTTTATTGCCTGTAACCATTTAAGATGGAAAAAGGGGGGGGGAGGCTTTCACTTAAAACGTCTTACCAAGAAATTTCCCACACTATAAAGGGACTGACGCAAGCATTTCTTCCTTTTAGAGAAAGGCCTTTTTATTGTAACTGACAAAGAAACTATAATAAGATATCCGTATTACAAAGAAATGTTGCTTCGTATTGTGCCTGTGCCAAATTCACCGTAACAAACACATTTGTTTGTTCGACATTCAGTGCATTAACACATTTTCACGTTTAGATTTGAAAAACATCCCTTAATTCTCTGAACCTTATTTGGTCCCCTCAAAAGGGTGCGGGCGGCCGTTGGGGACAAATGAACGTTGATGGAAGACCCACACCGAAATAGAAACCGATTCGCTCACCCTGGCTCGAAGCAGCCGGTCGAGAAAAAGGGAGTGTAAAATAGATCCGCGACCCAAAATTTAGTTTTTACGTTACGTGCCTACATGCGTTCACTTTCAAGATCAGTACCGTCCTGTCCGATTAATGCTTACATACTGCAGTCCAGCCCGTGGTTGGAGCCCCGCACAGGTCTCCTGTTCGTGCCCACACGTGGAACTTGTACCAAGCGCTGCTCTGGTCCACCTTGAAGCACAACTTTGTCGAACCGCTGGTCGCGTTGAAATACTCTTTGTCCCCATCCGCTGCAGAAAACAAGAACTTCACATTTCACAGTGCATTAGGCGCAAGCATCACACAACGTAGAAGATCTCCATGACACGCTCTGAAAAATGAAGTGTGTACTGAGTTTCCCTCAAGGTTCGCTCACGTTTACTTGATGGACTGATAAGAGGTCGCTGAATCATCTCGACTTAACCCCTTCTTCCGCTTCCTGGATCAATTATCCTGTGAGTGTGTACGTGTGTGTGCGTGTGTGTGCAGTATACATCCGCCATGTTTTCGGTGCGAGTCTTTCCAGGCTTTTCCTTGAAAGATACAAGAAAACTGTGGAAAAGTGGAAAAACTACGTTTGTATTGTGCTTTGCCATTTTCTTCGTAGCAATAGTACCTTGCAACATACAAATTCAAAAAAAAAAATAATAATTTAAATTTACTTACGGTTTGCGCAGCTGGGTTCAGCGGAATCTTTGCCAAAACTCGATAGTGGAGCACCCTGACTCTGTGGCACGTTTCCCGTTGAAACGGGGCAAAATTCCGCGAGGCTGGTCAAAGAAAGCAAGAAACACCTTCAGACTCACAAGAATTGAGGTTTTGTTTACTTACGTATTGACGGTTTTGCACACTCATGAATATATTGACACTATTTTATTTGTTTTGGAAGCATTATAATTATCGGTTTCGTCTTGACAAATCTGTCAAGCTTTCTTGACAGATTTGTTTTTATGTGCTCAAACGTCAATAATAATAATAATAATAAGAAGAAGAAGTCAATTGAAGGATGTGAATTAAGATGAGTACTAAATTCTTCGCCATCAGCAAGACCACAGCAGTTAAGTTTTCACAGTAAACTAAATGTTTACGCCTTACCTTGTAACAGTTGAGGGCAGATACTCATACTGCAAGGGTGGGCGCCACTCTGAAAAACAAAAATCTGACATGAAATAACTTTTAACGGGCGTAGCAAAGTTCGAACTGGGAAATACTCATGACGATTCTTGTCGTTTGGTTTACTGACTTACCCTCACAGGGCAAACACATTGGCACACAGTCAAGGAACGGTCTGTTAGGTGACATTTGAAAGTCAACGCTTTCTGTTGATTCGTAATCTTCCCTCCCGACCGCAGGATTCTGTGACGTTGATTCCAGTGTCATTGTGGTCGTAGGGACTGTACAGATCGAACGGAAAGGCCACGGGGACGCATTTTAAGTATCCATATTCATGATCAGAAAATAAAGGTAATCAATCTGAGATAAACAAATTAGACTGACGTTTCTTTGTGCCAGGAATCCATGCATTTTAACTCGGAATAGAAGTGGGTGAAAAGACGCTACACATTTGGCAAATGTTATGATTTTCCAATATTCTCCTCTGTTTCGGTATGTTTTGTGTAATCTCAAGAACAAGATGAGTTCCCAATGGAAATTAAAGAATTTCCGGTAAAATTTTGAAAGAAGAATGAATGGCGCTCGATGTCCATGGTCATCTCTACAAATTTTCCGTACGGCCACGGACGTTTCGAAGAGTGATGTACACGTACCTGTCGTGGGCCTCGTAGGGGGCGGCTTCGGTGCACAAACTTCCACTCCGTCGGGGTTTGTGGTGTCAGAGGCTCGGGTTGACGATGTGCGCGGTGTAGTGACGTCATCATCCTGGCACTCGCCAAGCATTTCTAGCATCACTTGGTACTGCGAGACGCATTCTCCGCCGTGAGGGGGCGTCCAGGTCACGCACACTTCCGTGGTCGAGCTTGCATGCACTCTAACGTTAGAGACTGCTTCGGGGGCTGGTGCGAGAAAAATGAAAGAAGTGCCACCGAACATGCAACCAACGGGGTGAGGGGGGTAAAAAGGTGTCGGAAATCCGATGGTGGTGTCCATTTCAAAATGAGAGTTACCATTAGGTCAGTATAGGACGCTGGACACAATGACAAATTTCATTCTTCCTCCCTCTTCCTTTCAGACTGCACTCTAAGCCCGTTACTGACTTTTTTCTGATAAAATGCCTATTTGTTTGAGCAAGCATTAAACTTCGCATTTTCTAAGCAAATATGACTAAATTCCTTTGTAAAATTATTTACGGAAATTAATTGCGAGTAAACTAATTCTATCGTATAATTCGCATGCGTGCTCAGAGCAGTATTAGTACCTTCTCCTTGGACGTAAGGAGAATGAAGAAGACCCGACTCGTTTTGTGAGTGCTGAATCACCCGAAAACGGACGAAACTTACTTCCCACCTTCGTCCTGACAAACACATCCTCCGGTTGGTCCATGGCGGCCTCTATGGCGACCGTCGTGAGCGAGTCATGCATGACAGCAACCTTGACATTGTACGTTGTGCACGGCGTGAGGTCCGTCATGGTGATGGTCCTCAACATCGGGTCCCAGACGAAGGCCTTCCATTCTTCGGGCGGTGGCGTCACGTTGGGGCCAGCCTCGTATAAAGACACGCAGAACAAGGTTATGCATCTCTCTGGCGGGAAACGGTTGGGGCCCTCGAACAGTTCAGGCGTTGCCCAGTCCACTTTGAGGCTGGAGTTGCTCAAGGCAATGGCCGTCACGTTCTTCGGGGCAGCCCTCGCTGGAAGCAAGCACACGTGGCTATTTGACCACAACGCACAGTGGGCCAGAAAACCGGCGCAGGCGGCCAAATCTCTGGACGCGTTTTGAGTTCCAGAGTCGCTGAATTGGACTCAAACCGAGCGTGTGGCCCCACCAATGGATTGCTCTCCCAAACGAGGAATCTATTGCTGGGACCACACGTTCGGTTTGAGTCCCATTCAGCGAATCTGGAGCTCAAAATCCTTCCGGGATTGTGGTGGGTCACGATAGACGAAAGTACACTTACTGTCATGATTATCAAACGTGAATATCCTCACGGGGTTACTGTAGCCTATGAGTCCCCCATACGTGTCAGTAGCTTTCACTGTCAATATATACAGAATACAAGGATCCAGTTTGTCAAAAATTTGAACCGTTTTACCAGTGCCCTTGTCGTAATACATTGGCTGGACCTCGTAGCCATGAGCCGGTGAAAACTGGTTGCCATTGAAGCGATCCACATCGACCGCGAAGAAGGGATCCTGGAGGTCTGACTGCCAGAGTAAGGTGAGACTAGACCAGGAAACGTTTGTGGCCTCAGCAACTATTTCGTTACGTCCTGAAAAAAAAAGGTGTAACAAAATTATTTTAGTTTAGTTAGTTAAGTCGATGCGTGGAAATGATGTACACTGTGAGAAAAAAGTACGGAAAAGTACGGAACATGTCTGGTCAATAATTTGCCTGGACCGTCCGTACTTGCCAACTACGGAACGTTCCGTACTTTTTTTCCGTACCCATTTACATGGGTTCATATGGAGCAAGTACGGAACGATCCGTTTCTCCGTACCTCCGCACTATATTTTTCTGTACCATTTCCGTACAAAAGTACGGAATTTTTTACAGTGTATCTTGGTTCTAGTTAATTTTGACGACCGTAAGCGGCAAAAACGGTTCCTAGTTTTCTCAGGTGCGCTAAATGAAAGATATAGGCGCCTTCCAAGGAGTCTGGTGGGCATAGTAAAGTCATATAGGTTATATCCAGGGATTTCCTGGGAAAACCAGGAACCATCACGCTCCTTTAAGCATTGTGTCACGCTCGTTTGGACATGGATCAGCCATAAATTAGCCTTTTCCCATCCAACAGCGTGACGATCAATTCTCAAAGGAACGTGACATTTTGTCCAGGGATCCTTAACTTACCTCATAAGGGCATCATAACGTTATGATAGGAGTTAAAGTTATTACCCTTAACTTCTAACATCTTTTCAAAAGGGTAGGTTATTTCTTTATGTCTCGAATTTGTGTGGATATACTTTTGCAAGTACTTTCTTCAGTCCGTACTCTTAACCTTTAGCGAACATTGTCTTATGTTACGTTATGAAAGCAGAGTTAGTTAAATGTTAAGTTAAGGATCCCTGATTTTGTCGAGCAGTTTGAATGTAAAGTCGCGCTCCTGGAATGCGAGTGAACTTCTTTGCCTACCTTGTCCTTGCCCTTGAGCGAAGATGCTGCAGAAAACTATGAGCCACTGACAGAATGCGCATTTGCCACTGAGAAGCATGGTGAGGGGGCTATGTCATTTCCCGACGAAACATCACAGATGCTTGATCTTGACCTTGGGCGTAGACAACGCACGACCGTTCCTGGACGCAAACGGCACGGAGAATGAATTGACGCGGTGAAGCTACCCTTGCTACAGGAGAAATGATTCCAAGAAGCGTTTCGTCACTCTCGCACACGTCCGGAGAAGGTCATGAGAGTGACAGAGACAGAGCGACGGAACGGTTTTTCGGTATCGGCCCGGTGCTGTGATAACATGGTAAGTGATAACACGGCGAGCGATTTCGTACACTGCGTCTCTCTCGCATCGGCAGGGGGCGCCCCGCGAGTGCGACAGAGACACAAACAAACCGACTGTACGAAATACGCGTGTTGTCCGGATTTATTAAAGGGCGGGCTATTCTTTGCAGCGAACCAGGTCGTCTCCCATCTGCGAGCCCATCGTTGCGTCTCTCTCGCACTCATGGCGGGTTCCGAAGGTGTGCGAGAGAGACAGAGCGACGAAAGCACTGTTTGGCATCCGCCTGAGGGCCTCTGGTATCAGCGAATGGCAGGACACAGGTGTGTCTCTAATCGATCTCATTAGAGTAGTTATTGTAATGGAAGACTGATGAAAAGATAATGAGATAAGCCCAAATGTGGGCTGGCAATCTCCCTGGAAGTATGCACAACATCTTTGACGGGCCCTTTTTTCTAGCACACGCGCGAGCAGACTTGACCCGCGCAAAAAGTCAACCCAGCGGCGGATCCAGGACCGGCTCGAGGGAGGGGCAACGAAGCACTTTTTGCCCACTCAAAGGAGAAACGGAGGGGTCGACTCCCCTTAGACGTGCACGAGGGAGTCTGCGTATATTACCAGTAATGTAGGTATGTGTAATATATAAAGTAATATGGGGGCTCGTGTAAATCTTTTCAGAATGTCAGAAACCTGCCTGAAAACCTGATCAAAATTCGCGCACCTCTGAAAGCTGAAAACACCTCCGGACATTCTGTAGAACTCAGTCCAGTTTCAGCTTTTAGAGGTGCGCGAATTTTTATCAGGATTTCAGACGTCTTTCTGACATACTGACAAAATTTACACGAGTGGGTGGGTTATATAGAGGCAAAATTGTGGTAATATGCAAGTAATATATGGTATACAGGTAATATACAGGTAATAATATAGCCACCGCGTAAGAGGTAATATATGACGACCCCTCGGGAGAAACAAAGTGTTGATTATGCCTCCCTCTGCGGCGGCTATCCAGAGGTTAATTACCATATATCGCCCTTACACACACATACACACACAAACACACACTCAACCAAGCGTGCACACTAATTTTTTATTTGTAGAATTTCGTACGTGAACCTCGCACGATTTTGTGCATACGTGGAACTTGCATAACACAACTCCTTTAAACGCATAAATTAATGCAAATTTGAGCCCGATCACATGAAAATTGTTACACAGGTTTTAAAATCATGCAGCCCCACGTACAAAATTGTACCTAAGCCTTAGCTTGTGCACACGACTCACAGTATCCGCGCTTTCAGTCACCAGCAACGATTTAAAAGGCCCACTCTGAAAACCTTACGAAGTATTTTGAGCATCATTGTAAATACAACAAATGAATTTGCTTTGTTATACGAAGAAATAGTTCGTAAATTACGGAGTATTCTTTGTAAGCTCATAAATGCTCAAAATACTTTGTTATAACAAACTACTTTTCTTTGTAAGGCCCAAACTAGTTTGTAAGGTTTTCTCAGTGACGCTCGCTGTTCGGAACACGCGGACCCAATCAATCAGGTGATGGTCCGGCCCATGATGCGTGCGAAATCTCAACGGGCCCCGGAACCTTATCTTGAGAGGCTGGCGAAATATTCATGGTTAAGTACGTGCACTGCCGCTTCACTTGGCAGTCGCCATGGCAGCGGTCCGGTTCGTTTTCACGGCCCTCTTGGCGCTCGCTTGTGGTACGTTCTACAGTGGGCCGGTGGAGGCGGCCAAAACTCTAGACGCGTTTTGAGCTCCAGAGTCGCACTGTTAAAAAAAAAGTCGAAATTTTCAGACTTTTTAGGATGAAGTCAATTTTGAAACCCAGTGGTCTGAATTTTCAGACCCCCGGACACTCTGAATTTTTGGACCACCTGTCGTCTGAATTTTCAGACTAGCATGTACTTTGAATTTTACGACTACTAGGTAGTCTGAATTTTCGGACTAATGGCAGTCTGAATTTTTCACCTCGCGGGTTTGAATTCTAAGCCGCCCAGGTAATAAAATTACCACTTTTGTCAGGATGTATATTATGTTTTGGAGATGCATGTTTTAAATTGCTGAGAAACATGGAATGCATGCACTAAATAGAGCAGTTGTAAAACAGCTCTTGTTGTTGTTAAATGTAGCACCCAAAGTTGCGCAAAACTTTAACTAGATATGATATTTTGCTGAGAGAGCTTCCCAAAAAAAAAACTAGTCCTCGAATGTAAGACTCCAGAAGATGCAGCTGTAAACACTGGAAAGCAGCATGTTGGATCCAGATGCACACTTTGTGGAAACTTTTTCGGCACGATGAAAATACTTTGGGGACGAGGATGAAAGAGGAGTGACAAATTTCCAAAACGCCACCCACTCGCTCATCACCCGTCCCTTTAGTTTGGAAGACGCAATATCAGCAAAGGGCTACGCCACTTTCACAGCCTGCTGGCCGCGGATTTCGGATGCTTCAGAGTGGTGACTGCACGGCACCCAAAGCAATTTTGGAGCACGGAAAGGCGAAGGCAAAACGGCACTGTACACACTGTGCTGAGCGCCGATGTAACACATAAAACGTTGCTTCACGACGGAGCGTCACAAGGAAGATGCCACGCGACGCGGACTTGTATTCGGATGCGATGTGCACTGCTCTGGAGACAAGAGCAGCTCCAGACAAAAAAAAACACTTGGCCGGGGACCCCCTCAGATCTGGCTCCCTCCCGGTTTTTTTGGTTCAACTAGTGAATACGAATTGCCGAAACACAAATTGGGCCGGATCCAACACCGATTGGCTTTTTGGCACGGGTCAAAAACCCCCAGAAATGGCTGTTTTTGAGGGTTTGGGGCTTTTTGGGATCTCGGAACGTGTCGGCTAAAAAATCTACCAATATGGTTTTTCCGAAAGAAAAAAGTGCGCTCTTTCGAATGCCGGGTCGCGCGAGGCTCTACGACGTCGGGTTTAGACGCTACGGGCTCTTGAAGTTGCTCAATTTCACTATTTTCACTAAAAATGACTAAAACAGATTTCTTTCTCTCCGGAAGTCGATTGTGACTCTTCCTATTGGCAATCTTCACCATGCAAGGTATTTTTATACCTCAGAGACATGGTTTGGGCAATGAAGTTACGTTTTTCTACCGTGGGGAAAGCCCACACACTACATAGCGTACATAGCGCCTAGTGGGTAGGCAGCCCCTTACTCAGGCCAGTCGGGCGGGCCTGCCGCGTCAGGGAAGGCAGAGGTGGGATCGGGGTGGGCTCTATTGAGCAAGAATATTTAAGAGGTGACCGGGTTGGATTTCACCTCTCCGATTTGGCTCATTTTTGGTGGGTGTTTTAGCACCCTAGAAAGATGCTAAAAGCCTGAGTAGCAGGTCCGGCAAAAATTTATTAACCAATCTGCAGCTGTTTTTCTAAATTTGAGTTTTTTAACTTGAAGTTGGGTATTTTCTTCATTTTCTACAGTATTTGCTCAAGGAAGCTGAGTTTAGGTTTTTCAGACGTAAAATGAGCCAAGGAATTCGAATCTGCGTCCGGAATTGAGCTAGGACTCATACTTCAGGAGATATTGGCAAAAAAAACTGCCAGAAGTTGCCAAAAAAGTCCCAAATCCTGGGGAAACGGTCAAAAATTCCCGTGAGAGGCTTTCCCAGTGGTCTAAACTTCAGCGAATGAGCCAAGGAATCCAATGAGCACAACCTCATATTTTTCCGACGAACTGTTTAGAAATGGCACACTTTCAAAGTTGAGCATTTTCTTCCCCTTCCAATTTTTTAAGCTTTTTGACCCTGTAGGATTATATTTTCTTCTAACATCCCATCGGTAATGTCCCCTGCCATCCAGGGTCACGTGGTACGAACACCGCGACGCTAAAAAGTAGGAATCGAATGCGCAGCACTCAGCGCCTAGGCCTGGGCGATTAATCGAAAACAATCGCGATTATTTTGTTAATCGTGCGATTATTTTAAACCCCCGATTAGTGGTTAAGTAATCGAAGTATTGACCGATTGATGATCGATTATCGATTAATCGTCTCTTTATCAGATATTCTATCCATCACCTGTGCCATTCGAGAACTTTTCACGCTACATCCAAAAAAGACGTTTAAAATTTCCGAACTGTTCCAGTTAACTTGTTTAACAGGATTTCTCAAAATTTATTGGAGACTTAAACGCATAGAAAAGAACCATGCCCCTGCTCAATATATTGTGTCAATATATTTAACAACATAAAATCATGTTGAGAAATATAGCCGCCTTTCAACATCGAGTGCCAAGATTTTAAGACAAGTTACTTGAAAAGTCTGCCCTCCTAACCCTACCCCATCCCACGACGGGCACCGTGTCAGATATTGAAACATACATTTCGCGAAGATAATATTGTATGGGGAAATATATGCATTATATATTAACGGGCACGAAGATATACCCCCATATATAAACTACGTATTGCGTAAGATAATTTGCAATATATTGAGCAAGATACAATTACATTGGCAATGGATGAAACAAATATTGATTCATATATTCACTACAAATCCAAAGGTCAGACTTCTCGCCACTCCAGAGGCAAGACATTAGTCTCGCCAAGTTTTGGTCAGACGGTCAGACCTGAAAGTCTCGCCAAAATTTGGTCCGACAAAAAAGTCTCGCCACAAAACGGTCAGACACAAAAGTCTCACCACAAAATGGCTAGACTTTTGTGTCTGACCACGGCCTTTAGGCCGTAACCGTCCGGCGCATTACGGCCTTTAGGTGGCGGTCAGACACAAAAGTCTCACAGAGACTTCTGTGTCTGACCGTTTTGTGGCGAGACTTTTTTGTCTGACCAAATTTTGGCGAGACTTTCAGGTCTGACCAAAACTTGGCGAGACTTTAATGTCTCGCCATATTTTGGCGCAAAGTCTTTCCATCCAATTTGCAGTGTTTTCCATATATTTTCCTTTATGCAAGGGGTGGGGGAGGGGGTGGGGTACCTCACTCCCTCACAACGCCCACGAACCCTCCCTCCCTCTCCTCCTCGCCTCTCTCCGACTTGCCTGAGCAAGGGGCTGCCTACCCACTATTACCATTACCATTAAGGGCTATACCACATATAATCGTATGCCATTTCGGGCCCGACACATACGCTACGTAGTGTGTGGGCTTTCCCCACGGTAGAAAAACGTAACCTCATCGCCCAAAATATGTCTCTGAGGCGCTCGGGCTGCCAGGCACGCCAGGCCCGCTTCGCCTGCACCGGCGGCCATTGAAATTTACCGAAGTGCTACCCCCACTCCCCCCCATGGGTTTGAGAAGCCCACATGGGCTCGCTGAATCAAGCCCAATAGAGCCCACCCCGATCCCACCTCTGCCTTCCCTGACGCGGCAGGCCCGCCCGACTTGCCTGAGCAAGGGGCTGCCTACCCACTAGGCGCTTTGTACGCTATGTAGTGTGTGGGCTTTCCCCACGGTAGAAAAACGTAACTTCATTGCCCAAACTATGTCTCTGAGGTATAAAAATACCTTGCATGGTGAAGATTGCCAATAGGAAGAGTCACAATCGACTTCCGGAGAGAAAGAAATCTGTTTTAGTCATTTTTAGTGAAAATAGTGAAATTGAGCAACTTTAAGAGCCCGTAGCGTCTAAACCCGACGTCGTAGAGCCTCGTGCGACCCGGCATTCGAAAGAGCGCACTTTTTTCTTTCGGAAAAACCATATTGGTAGATTTTTTAGCCGACACGTTCCGAGATCCCAAAAAGCCCCAAACCCTCAAAAACAGCCATTTCTGGGGGTTTTTGACCCGTGCCAAAAAGCCAATCGGTGTTGGATCCGGCCCAATTTGTGTTTCGGCAATTCGTATTCACTAGTTGAACCAAAAAAACCGGGAGGGAGCCAGATCTGAGAGGGTCCCCGGCCAAGTGTTTTTTTTTGTCTGGAGCTGCTCCAAGCTAAAACTGACGCATTCTGTCTAGAAATCCCGAGTGGCCGAGGGATTAAGGGCCCCCTCCTCTCCCCCCGCCCCGCGCAGGTAGGCTTGCTTCGGCCGGCACGCCGGTCAGCGGTGATTTTCCGAACACCCCGGCTCGGCTCGGTGTGCCTGGCTCGGCTCGCCGCCGCCGGAGCGGCTCGGCTCGGCTCGGGTGACCCGGGCTTCGGTCCAGGCCGGAACCAGGGCAAACATGTCGCATCCTGCAGCTACCAGCGGAGTGCAGGCTGATTTTAAACTCAACACTAGACGGCCGTTCGCTTAGCTGAGCAAAAGTTTATTTACTACTGCTCTAGCAAATCAGGGTCCATAGCACTTGAAACGCAGTCATGCCTTTTATCAGAAAATAAAGCGTCAATTTCAGACTGCGCAGGATGAAAATTCAGACCTTCTAATGCAAATGACTGTTTTAAGACCCCGTCGCAGAAAATTTATACCGCGCCATCCAAATATTCAGACTCTTGAGTCCGAAACTCATTTTTCAGATCACAAGGGGTAAAATTAAGACCAACTGTCTGAAAATTCTGACTCAAGTCTGAATTTCAGATTCAGACCACTAGGTCTGAAAAAATTGGTCTGAATTTTCAGACTTTTTTTAACAGTGCGGTAAACGGGGGTATCAAAAACTGCTATAATTTTTTTCAGTCGGTCGACCCTCGTTTTTCAAGATTCTGATGTACGTAACTGCTGAAGTCGGACTCCCAGACCCCCCTTCCGAACACTCCTTGAAAAGGTCTTGACGAGACCTATCGAAAGGTGCAATAAAATTTTTCAGTCGGTCGGCCCCCTCTTTTCAAGATCCTGATGTGGACAATTCTTGGGAGCGGCCTTTGTTGGGACCAGATCTGGTCCTTCCTACGGCATGGACTGTACGAAAGAACGGTAACATCTGTTAAAAAAACTACGGAATATTTTGTAAAACAAGTACGGTAAATACTGTAGACTGTACGGTGGATACTGGTTTTTGAAGTACGGTAAAGTTTAGCAAAAAAAATTGTCCAGGATTTACCGTCATTTTTTCTCAGAGTGCAATGGATTGCTCTCCGAACGACTAAGTACTTCATTGGAGGGGTCACACGTTTGGTTCCAATTTTTGTTTAGCGACTCCCGAGCCGTAAACCCGTCTAGAATATTGGCCACTGTGCGTTCTAATGTGGCGCTTGTGATTGCCTTACTCTGGCGTCTGTTACCGTGGTCACGTTCTGTCGCTATCGCTTCTCGACGCAACCGAACAGAGTCAAGTGAGTAAACTGACACTGCAATTTTATCCCTAACGATTTTGCTGACTTGCAGCTCACGCACATGTGGACGTCGAGCCGCAAGATATCCGCATCATTGGAGGTGATGACGTCGACATTGCGCAGTTTCCCTACCAGGTATGGACTAGAAAATCGTTTTGAAGTTCACAAGTTTCGAGGTTCATTATTAGCCCGAAAGTAGTTGAAACGCAAGGTAAAATCCAACGACATGCAGTCGTTCTTTCGTTCTTTTCCCGCGAGGAAAAGTGTAAGAAAAATGTATTGTACATCTTTCTAACATTTGAGTGCAGCCGAGGTGCAGTAAAATAATGGTTGCCACTTTATGTGCCTTGAAGAACACTCTCATCCTCCAATCGACATTTTATCAATAGTCATTGACGTTTGTGCGCATTAGAAGAGTTTTGTAAAGAATTTGTTAAGACGGAATTGATAACATTGTTTGTAGAACAAACAAAAATGTTAATACGATCATTAATGCGCACAAACGTCAATAGGTTAAGAAACAAAAACTCAGGACGAGCCTGAGAGAGAAAGGCGTTGTTAGCCTACAGTTAGACCAGTCTAAGGTCCCACTTTTTGTGACCGTTAAAACTGCCCCCTCCACAGGGCCGGGGGGAGCGCGGGGGCTGGTGCGGGAGGACTTTGGCGGTGGACGGGGCAGTTTTAACGGTCACAAAAAGTGGGACCTCAGGCTGGCCTAACAGTACGCTGCTATAATAGCTATACTGGACAAACATCCTTTTGACTGACGACTGACACTGTTATTTAGCGAATGTGACATCTCGTTTGAATGTGAATTTTGCGACGTTCAAAAGAATGTCATGTCAAAGTCGTTGGAAAGTGACACGGCCGTCTAAGTATGACGTCACATTCGTTTGAACGTGGCTGAACATGTTCCCGTTACTTCTTTGATTCACAGGTAGCCCTGTTTTACTTCGACGAGTTCCGTTGCGGTGGTTCTATTCTCAATGAGAACTTCATTCTTACGGCCGCCCACTGCCTGCACGAGTAAGTCTACTTCGAGTCTAAGTCATTATTTGTGTGAGTTCAGGTTGCAACTGAAAAAAATCAACTCAAGTCCTGTGAAAGCTAACCATAAAATTTCGAAGAAATTTTGAAGAAATTTGACTAAAATTCAAGTTTGTCTATGAACTTTGGTGTACAAATTTTATGGAGTTGTTTCCCCTTGATCCGACACTTGTGGAAAGTTGGCTTTATGATTTACGTAGTCTGCATTTTCATGTTTATCTTTGGGAACTCAATTTTTAAGACAAAAGTAACTGACATGGGAACCCTTCTTCATGAAGAAAGGTTTGATTCTTGTCCTATCGGTCCCTGTAACATTGATCTCCAACTTCCTTGCGGCAAATTTCTATTACAGTGTCAAATTTGACTGGCATGTGTCCATCCGCGCGGGGTCCACCAAGCGTTCCTTCGGCGGCCAGTACATCAGGGCCTCCAAGATTGCAATGGGGGAGGGCTTCACAATGAAGAAGCTCCACAACGACGTTGGCATCGTCAAACTCGAAACTCCTCTCAACTTTACGGACCTAGTGAGGCCTGTCGAGCTGGTCGACGTCGGTTCGGAACCCCAACCAGGCTCCACCATCACTCTCAGCGGCTGGGGCGTGACCAACGCAAGTTTCGCTGACCTTTCATTACAACCTAGATGCACTGAGAATGAAAAAGTCATGATCGATACCCAATTTTAGGCGAGGTATACTTTATCACCCAAATTTGGGCGCCCGGGCGAGGAAGGCTTCCTTGCCCAAACTTGGGTGAGGAGTATCCGCTAACTACATGGCTCCATAGTATTATGACCCAAATTTGGGTGAGGAAACCTTCCTCACCCAAAATTTTAGTCATGATCATGTCTCTTTCATTCTCAGTGTGCTTATGGTCTGTTTGTGATCCATAACTATTGCCATATTTGTTCAAATGTAAGTCATGTACAAATATATGCGTAGATTAGGTACAACTTCATAAATACCAAGGCACAATAGAGAAACATATGCATTAAATTATGAGTAGCTTCCACAAATATGGCAATAGTTATGGACGATAAAAGTACATGCACATTTAGTGTGTACTGTGAAAGTATGCAGGTTAAGCTAAAGCGTTCACGCAAAATGTTTATGTTCAATTTTGAACGTGCTGTTGCATGATTTTGCATAAATTTTGCATAAACTTGTGATTTTTTACGCACAATATTATGCAAGTTCCATTTGCGCATAAAATCGTGCAAGTTCCACGTACAAAACCAATTTTACGTGGACATTTAGTTTGTAGGGCTAGCTTTTAAGCAGCATAATCTTTTTACGCTTGAAATCAAGCGTAAGATACCTCCAAAGTGCAAGAGGCAATTTTGAGCATTTGCGTATTATTTCAAGCGTAACTCAATGTTTGACTCCAGCCTATAGTTGATCCAGGAAGCGGAAGAAGGGAATAACTTGACTTATCCCCAAATTGAGTTTTTATTTTTTTATTGTGCCTTAGAATGGTTTACATCATTACACCAAATTATTTGACTGGATTCCAAGCAGTTTAGGAGAAAATCCACTTGGAAAAAGGGTATAACTCAACTTAACCCCTTTTACAGTCTAAATTTCATTGGAAAATGGAGATAAGTCAACCTTAGTCTACATGAGTCCGTTTGACAAATTGGCAAAAGGATATAACTCAACTTGTGTTTTTATGAATCTATTGTAAAAAGAATCAACTCAACTTAACCCCCCCTAAATTTTAAATTTCAATTTGGAAAAAAGAGCTAAGTCCAAAAAATACACCAGAGTAACATACACTTTATGCAGACTATTGTTCCACTTGACTTGTCTCCAAATTCCTGTTTGTTTAGGAAATTTAAGGTGAGCTGACTCTGTTTTCCATTTCAACGGAAAGCGATAAGTCGCAGAAATCCTCTACGGAGTGACCTTACACTTTTTATTTTTTTTCCAAAATTTTACTAATGCTTTTTGAAATTATTTACATGTGCAACATTCATTTGTTTTGTTTTAGTTTTCCCTGCTAACAGTTTTTTGTTTCTCCTGGAAAATGGCCAAAATTGAGTTATCCCCTTCTTCCGCTTCCTGGATCAGTTACGATTCAGGTTTGCCAGTGAACCTTTATGAAAACCCTGAAATGTTAAATTTTCTTCAACGAAACATTCAAAAAAGTCGACTTACTTCAACCCTTTTAAATAAAACAATTTTAATTCCCGAATGGACTATATCTTCGTAGTTTCACAATCTATTTGTTTCTGTGAGAGTAGGTTTGTAACGTTGCTGGGTTTCCAGGAAAATAGCAACGTGGCACCCGAGGGCCTCCGCACCACGACTGTGAAGGCAGTTAACCGCTTGGTCTGCAGCGTCCCGTACTTCCTCATCAACAGGATTACCAAGGACATGTTCTGCGCTGCCGCTCTCGGCAAAGACACGTGCCAAGTAAGTCACAGAGTGGTGTGAGTGACCTTCTCTACATACTCTACAAACTCAAGTGTGTACATAGTACACTTCAACTTGAAGTGTACATGCATGTACACTTCAACCTGGAGTGTACATGCATGTACACTTCAACCTGGAGTGTACATGCATGTACACTTCAACCTGGAGTGTACATGCATGTACACTTCAACCTGGAGTGTACATGCATGTACACTTCAACCTGGTGTACTTGGCATGTACACTCCAGCTTGGCGTGTACTTGCCAAGTACATGCCAGGTGGCTCATACCTGCAGGAGCCAGCAACAGTGTACCTGAAGGTATGCGCCACCTGGCGTGTACTTGGCAAGTACACGCCAACCTGGAGTGTACATGCCAAGTACACTCCAGGTTGAAGTGTACATGCCAAGTACACTCCAGGTTGAAGTGTACATGCATGTACACTCCAGGTTGAAGTGTACTATGTACACACTTGAGTTTGTAGAGTACTCATGTTTATACTTCACTGCAAGAAAATACCACAACAAAAGTACACTCTCATTGCAGGAACGTGACATCACGTTGAAACGAACGTGACAACATGTCACGTTCGTTTGAGCATTGTGTCACATTCGTTTGTGTGTGTGAATCGGCCAAAAATCAGCTTGTTCACATTCAAACGAACGTGACATTTTGTCACGTTCGTTTCAACGTCACATTCCTGGAATGAGAGTGTACACAAATTACTGGGATGCTCAATTTTGCTCAAACAAGGATATAGTAATTTAGCGTGAACGTGATGCACTTTCACTTATTCATTCATTCATATTTGTATTTTTGCAGGGTGACTCCGGTGGCCCCGCCGTCAACGGCGAGGGCAAGCAGGTCGGAATCGTCTCCTTTGGCATGGGTTGTGCCAACGTGTTGTTCCCAGGCGTCTACACCAACCTGGCCAGCAAAGGGATCCGTGACTTCATCGACAAGAGCCTTCAGACGATGTAGACAAATAAATAGCGATACCGAATTACAGATTGTAGTGTTCCAGGTGGCATGGCGAAGACAAGGTTAGGGATCAGTAACTTAGACAACAGTTAGATACTTCCATGTCTAATCCAAAGGCTTCTCAGTCGTCAAGTGGCAGATACGAGCTGACTTATGTACGGTTTAGATTAAATGCAGGTAAATGCATATATTTACAGTTACTCCTCCTTTGCCAGGTTCACATTATATACACTACACAGACAATCGAATCGGTTGGCGGTTAGTTTGAGGAGAGATCAGATTCTATACCGATATCTCCGGCCACAAATTTTCGTTGTGCTGGTCAGGAAAGTCTCTTGGCCTCCGTGCGGGTTCAGATAAGTATGTTTATAGCGCATGAATATTTGCATAGGTCTCCTATACCAAATATGAAATCGCGTTCTTATATGTGTTCCCCAACCTCCTTAAGTGAGTTGACCTCAAGTAAGCAGAGCTGCGTGTCCTCTGACTGTGACAAAGGTTAGAGAAGATCATAAGAACAAATAAAGAATACCTTTAATCACAAGGGAATACAAAAACAGTCTTGGTAGAGATTCTTGAACAACCTTAAGAAAGTAGAGCACATGAACCGTCTTATCTTAGAGATAACGAGTGAACTCGTGTTTACGTTCTGCAACTCGCGGCACCGTTTTTCAAGTGCCCCGACCCGCCACAGCGAAGCAGCGACACCGCCTGAGCTTGTCGCAGTATCCGCCGGGGCAGTTGTGCAGGATACACGTTTTTCGACAGTTTTGGATGTTGCACCTTTCCGGCTCTCCGTCGGCGAATCCCAGCAGCGAGGCGTCCATCCGATTCAGGGCGAGCAGAGCGTGGTCCAGTCCGTTCACGGTCAGAAGCACATCCAGCAGAGGCCCGTCCACGACATTTTCTGCGCAAGAACAGAAAGTAAACTCGCTGTGGAAGTTGGCCGAAATTTTGATCCTGCCCTTCGTGTTTGTAACAGCCTAGTTCACAAGAGAGAGGACTACAAACACGTACCGGACCAGAGCAATGTAGAATCTTGCATTCACTACAGTCTCACTCTACTTATGGCGTCAGCCAAGATGTCTTACAAGTGTGAGCCACGCTTGTCTCGAACTGGTAAGTATGAGACAAACGTGGCTTACCTAAAACATGGCGTATTTGAAACCGCAACTTGAGTTATCTCCTGTCGACAAATATTTGCCATGGAGTCATGTAGACTTTGTTCGAGCTGTTTCTATTTTCCGCTAAATTTAGGGCGTATAAGGGGACAAGTTGAGTTACATGTTTCTTCGAAGTGGGTTTTCTCGTTAATTGCTAGGAATTGAGCCAAATAATTTGGAACAGTGATGTAAACCATTCCAAGGTACAATAACTTGCGATAAAAACTCAATTTGCAGATAAGACGAATTATTCCCTCTTTCCGGTTCCTGGATCAATAATGAGATACTGTATAGCACTGACTTCGCAGAGTACTTTCTTCTGATAACATTATTCATTTGTCCAGTTTTCGTTCTCCTTGCGAATAGTTCCACATTTCTCTTGAGGCATGCTGACTAGAATGTATTTATCTCCTTATGCTTCCTGGCTCTTGTTTGACAATTATTCCCTGAACGCGGTAAAAACAGTGTCCGGGTTTGTAAGGCCCACCCTGGAATAAAAGGCCCTTTTTTCAGGGCGCGACTGGGAGAACCGGACTCTGTTGTGAATATTAAATATATTTCAATAAAAAGTTGCCCTAACGTGACATTAATGTGGTCAAAAATGCACGAAGTTTTTCTGTTGCTTGTTTTCCCCAGTTCAGTGTTCACCGTGAAAATAGGGTACTTCGGAGAAGAGCTGTGACGGAAGTTGAGAAGAAATCAAGAAGAACAAATGCCGGACTTAAGTGAGATCAGCGGAAGCGGCAGCACGGCGACGCAGACGCTCATTCTCGTGAATTTGTCATATTTCGTAACGCGCACTGAACTCGAGTACTCAGCACTACTTACTAATGGGATTACTAAACAGGTATAGTAACATTCACTAAAGTATTTTTTTCAGTGTGTTCTTCTCGATTTCTTCTCCACTTCCGTTCCAGATTTTCTCCGAACCCTATTTGACTCCAAATGCCGCCTGACCTTGTATCGGCGGCGTGCCGTCAGAGCTGAGCACTGGTTCGATGAGGAACTCGTCATCAGTCAGACGGAGGTGTGACGAACCATCGGCCGCCTTCACGGCCAGCAAGGTGTCGAAAGGGTCATCGAGGAAATGCCCGCCCTCGTGCGGTTCTGGTGGAAGTCCAAGTTCAAATGCATCTCCGGCAATACCGACGTCATCCGCTTCGTGTTGCAGAATGTCTCCGGCATCTAAGTAAACACAAGCATCAACATTTAATTGATTCTGGAGTTCTTCTACCCAGTATGAGGGTCAGTTGGTGTCATTTTGGGACACGGCTGTTTTCCTGGACAAGATTTGACAGTTTGGAGCTAACGACATACAAAATGTTATTTTCACATTTAACACGTGTCTTTGGTCTAGCGTGAATTCTAAAATGTCTGATCTTGAGAAAGAAACAGCTGTTCCATTTCTACCCCATGTCCCAAAAAAACGAGCCGCACCGACCCCACCGTTGCTTCGGACTTAACATGTTTGATTCGTAAATTTGACATGTTTAGTTGTATCAAAGGAGCCCGGATTCGATTCGAGCAACTCATCACTCTAAAAATAAATTTTCGAAACGGAATTTTTGGAACCTTTAGCAAAAAAAGTTGCCTTCGTAAATTTACGAAGATTCTTTGTAAATTCAGAAGAATTTTTCTTTCAACCAACATCTATCATGACTTTACTGAGGAACCTTTGCCGGCATTTTCCCCAGAGGTGCCTTTGTTAATTCCAAATTAACAACACTTTAACCTGTGGCGTCACTGGTCGCCGCCGCAGCTCCCACGATCACACACGTAGCCACTGTTATCACGTTCAGCGCCATCGTCACACTGACGGCGAGCGATAGCACGGCCTCATTTATACCAGGTGGAGCTCGTTGCGCAGCGAGAGATCAAAACATTCACACCTTGACGAGCCACAGTGGGCCAGAAGACTGAAAGCGGCCAAAACGCTCTAGACTCGTTATGAGCCTCATAGTCGCTGGACAGGACTCGACCCTAGCGAGTGACCCTACCAATGGATTCCTCGTTCGGAGAGCAATCCATTGGTGGGGTCACACGTTCGGTTCGAGCCCCATTTAGAGCGACTCTGGAGCTCAAAACGCGCCTAGGCTTTCGGCCGCTTTCACCAGTCTTCTCGCCCACTGTGAGCCGTTCCTAGAATATCACCTCTTGAAATTTGCTCCAATGCGCTTTGGAAGATGGTCCAAGTGAGACACGTAAAAACAGCGATACTTGGCCTTTGATTAGGTCCCTACGGCCATCCCATGCCCGACAACAGGAAGTCCAATGACCTGGTTCCTCACCTGAGAGCGTTCGACGCAGCTGTCGGCCGAACTGTATGCACACTTCAAAATGTATCGGCGAGACTCGTGCCGTGTCAGGTGCATGAATGACGCGTTGTGCCAAAAAACGGCTTGACATTAAAGTGATGCCAAAAATCGGCATGACTTGTCTGCATAGGAAACGTGACATGTCACGCTAGGTTTTTTTGCAGAGCTCTCCTTACAAGACGCTACAGGAAGCACCGATTTAGATGGTTCAACGCCAGATAACGGTGCGACTCACTCGTCATGCCGTTTTTCGACGGGACTTTCCTGTCGTCGCGTCGACTTTTAGCCCGTCCTGTGTATTTTTAAAACAAACCCTGGAGGGTCGGGCATATCGAGAGGTGTCATTCAAAAGATCTTTTCTGGGCGTTTCCCTTTCCGTACAGGGAATCTTATCTAAAACGCAAGCGAATTGCCACAGGGTCACAAAGAAAATACTTCGTACCTTACGAATCAATTCTTCGTAGAATACTTCAAGCGTGCAGGCAGCATATAGAGCGCAAAATTTCGATTTCTGTCGCACTGCTGTGTGCGCAGTAAAAACTTAATTAATGTGTACTTCAGGTCAAATGGCTGCTTATTTTTGACCTCCCCTCCAAAACATTAATAGAGGAAGGTGAACATGATATGTACAGCAGGATTAGTCCTCTGTTGCCTCAGGCCTGCGCAGGTTGCGATGTAAAAATCAGTTGGTTTAAGTTCCGAACATGGATCGGGATACCTATCATGAATCATCTTTGTTAGCAAGCCCGTACCGCCAAACCAATCGACCAATTTAGTTTTTTCAAACTTTTTGCATGTGGGAGAGCTGGTCAATCTTACAGTTAAAGTGCGTCTTGTAAGCGTTCGAAACCCAGCCTCGAGTCATACGCCCGCTCGGTAATCAACTCCACTGACGTTGGACGTCGAAGTGCTGCCTACCTACTGGGCGTCAGGAGACCGGCGCAGGCCGCCAAAACTCTTGACGCGTTTTAAGCTGTAGAGTCGTTTAACAGCACTTGAACCGAACATGTGACCCCACCTACTGTCACATAGCAAATTATTGTTATGAAACCGAGGTTGAAATTCCCACGATTATCGCACCCTCCGATGCAGTGAGTAAGCTTTTTACAACATTTTGCTATAACCATCTCTTTATTTTTGCGATACACGATCTTTTTTGTCCAAGGGGAAATCACTGTGGATTTCAGTTAAATTTTGATGGATTTCAGGTTAAAACTACTGAACTTAGAGAAGAATTTTAATGAATCTTAACAAATTTTGACGAGTTTCAATGAATTTGAGTAAATTTTACAAGTTTGGTGAATTTTGGTGTACGAAATTTGGCTAGAGTTATTCCCCTTTATTTTGTCGTACTGCTATAGCAAGTTCTGTTGCTACAAATTTTTCTTGCATTTCTTTTGTGCGCATTTAACTGAAGATTGGTGCAATTTTATTATTGCTGTTCTTCAGTGGACATGAGCACAAAACATTGTAATAATCTTTTCATAGCAAAATATGCTCGGTGAGTAATTACAGTTTGATTGACTGTTCCGATTCCTGCGTCCAAAGAAAGAGTAGATCAAGTGGTGCGCAAATTGATTTATTACACTGCACTGTTAAGACAGTAGGGAGTTATCGGTGCTAACACCGGGGAAGCCTCTTCTTGCAGTAGGTTGTCGCGTCCGCCTTGGCCTTGGTCGTCATGCCGAGGTAATCGTAGACGAACAGAATGCACTGCGCCGAGGCGACCTTGCAGTACTCCTTCAAGTCACGCCCGTCCACGTTCTGGCAGCTCGGGTACCTGCGGAATTAGAAATTTAAAATGAGAAGACTTAGTCAAAAAGAAACACTTGGCCGAGGATCTGGGGGCAGACTGAAGAACAAAAGTTTTGTTCTTCTATGTAGATTCTGTATAGATACTACAGATTTTCTCAATTTGTTTGCCTCCGTCTCCCAAACAACTTGAGATACGGCTTAACATTTTAAAACATATCTTGTCCAGCTGACTTTTTATTTGAACCTATAAAAGGAAGTATAAAATAGAGCAATAATTCTCAAGCCATTTTGAATAAAATCTGTTATTGGTTCCTACTACACTGTAAAAAATTCAGTACTTTTGTACGGAAATGGTACAGAAAAATTTAGTACGGAGGTACGGAGAAAAGTACGGAACGTTCGTAGTTGGCAAGTACGGACGGTCCAGGCAAATTATTGACCAGACATGTTCCGTACTTTTTCTGTACTTTTATCTCACAGTGTGCGTTGACACAGGCACTTAAAATAATGCTGCATGTTTACCTTTTGGCGCAGTAGAGTTTCGTTCGCGCTGGGGTGTCCTTGTGTTTCCATTGATACTCGTTGAGACAACCCGGTACTTCGGAGCACTTTTTGGACTTGAAGGCTTCAGCAGGGGCCGTAACCTTAGAAACAACACTCTTGAAAGCTTGCTAAGAAAAGATCTTAGCAGTACGAAGTACACTCTCAGCACGTTCCTGACTTTTTTCTCATTAATTGCGAATTCGTATAAGCAACAATAATACTTAGTCTTTTCTAAGTAAGTATAAATAATTTCTTCTGTAAAATTATGTACAAAACCAAATTGTCAGGACATTATTTAATATTTCCTAAGTAGTTCTTTAAAAATGGAAAAGTATGTATTATGGTTGCAAAAATTACTTGCATAAGTACTGACAAAATAAGCAAAGTCAGTAACGTGCTGAGAGTGTATTCTTCGGCTTTGTATTACATACACCTTAGCGATGATTTTACATTTTTTGCATTGCAGAGAAATACTGATTGCAAGTTCCGAAGAAAAAGGTTCGTAACTTGCCAAGATATCGAGGTGGCAACCACTCACAAAATCCTATGGCCGAAATATTCAGCGAAATCAGGATAAACCTGTTGAATTCTCGCGAAAATAGTGGTTCACAATGCTGAGAGACTAGTTCGCAAGAGAGTAAATTTGTTACACAGTGCCGGAGAATACTTTGCAAGAGATTCTTAGTGAGAGGCTCCAGACTAACAAGGACCACAAATAAAACAGGTAGGTTTATTGGCTGAAATGAAGGTAAGTTTCAGCGATTCGAAAGTCTATTGTAGGCAGTTCTTCGCAGATTAGTTTTTCAGTTTGGTCAAAGGGAGTTATTGCGAAATTTAAATATTATTTAATTGCAAAACATACAGTGGGAACTATTATTGAAGGTTGAATGACGGTGGGGGGAACGTGGGACTTGGGGACCGTCCACAAATTACGCAACGATTTTCATAGCTCTGCCCTCCTTGTTGCTCATTAGAGACTGCCAGTAAGTGCGAGAGGGACAGAAGATGCTGTGTAATTTATGGACGAACCCTTATTCCTAACGCGATACTCACGACCACGGCGACGGCAACGAGGACAAGAACTCTGAACAACATCGCAACGTGACTTGACTTGCTGTGGAGACGAAGGTTGCGACGTGCATGTTTTATACCTTATGTCGGCGATCTGTCGTGGCTCACTGGCAGTCGTGAGAGAAAATCGTGAGCAAAAACAACCAACAAAACAAAACATTTTTCACGAAACTTGCAAGCACGGCCCTTCTTGGACTGCGTACAGGAGGCTCAAATGTGTTGGAAACTTGTCCCAATACCACAAATACGACGGAATTTTATTATTCTCAATCTTAACTTCACAAAATCGGTTTTGAGAGAAATGAGAACCTCTCCAAAATAGCGCGGTCAGTCCGAGTCAGTCCCATTGCACACTACATGCTGTGTACAATTTTGTACGAGACATCAGTATTTTGTGCACATGAAATTTTCGTATGTAAAACTGTACATTTTTCGCCATTTTTGTACAAAATTGTACAAATTTGTACGGAAATGTTCGTTAGCGCAAAAAACTGTGATATCTCTAACAAAATTTGTCCCTAAACCGATTAAGCCGAGTGTGCCGAGAATTGAAGTAATCGAGAGACTGCGATTGCTTGTTTATTGAACAGTGAACGAGACAGTGAAAGCAGGTTGTGTGCTGTGTCCCGCTGCAACAGAATGGAGAGAGGCGTCTTCGGGGAGCGCCTCTCGATGCCTGTATGCGGACGCTGCAGGAGAAACGTCCCTGGGTCCGCCAGTAGCACTAAGCCGTCCTCTGGTCTGCGGTACCTGGGGACAGCAGAAGGGCACAGTCAAGCGGTCGCCACAAGGACTAGTGAGCAGAAAGGGACCGGGGTTTTGAAGGTACGTCGGAAATTCCCCGGACGCGGTATCGAGCAAGCCAGAAGGTCGGCCCAAACCTAGGAGGGTATGGCCAAATTTTTTCGCCCGTAATACACCCCGGGGATAAACTTCCTTTTAATTTTTTGGTAATAAGAAACCCCGCGAAATTTAAAAATACGGGGGTAAAAAAGTCGGGGGGTTTAAAATTTGGGCCAAAATTGCCCAAAATTTTATTTCAAAATTTTGTGTTTTTTTGTTTTTTAGCGCCCCGTTTTCCACCCCTAAAAATCCGATTAATTTGGTGGGGGTAAATTGAGCGTAATAGGGCGTAATAGTCCGGTACCCCAGGTTCAGGGGAGCCGGCCAATAAACCCCCTTCTGCGGTCGCAACACTCTCAGGCTCGCTTTTGACTTTTAGTACATGGAATTTACATTTTTGTTGATTGAACATCTGGGTTTTTGTGCGCCAGTAACATGAACTTTTTTGTTTCTTACCTTTCATGCACTGTAAATGTCTTACGAAGAAATTTCCCATAATACGAAGGAAATGGCGCAAGCATAATACGAAGGTGGTTTTTGTTCGTTACGAAGGTTTTGCTTTGTAATATTCCTTCGTATTATGCTTGCGCTGAATTCACTGTAACATACGAATAACATAGGTCAACTTTCATTGTAAGACATTAAGTGCACATTTGTGTTCCTACTTATACACAAAAAATTTCTAAATTTTATGCAGTTATTTGTTCGTATCTAAGAAGAAAATACTAAATATTATGTTATAGGCTCGAGCACCTATTTACTGACGGTAAAGTCAATAAGAGGCTGAGAGTGTAAATGGGACTCGAACTGAACCTGTGGCCCCACGAATTGCTCTCTAAGCGGCTCGCCATTCTGTAGTGAAACTTTAATGTCTGACCATTTTGTGGCGAGACTTTTTTGTCTGGCCAAATTTTGGCGAGACTCTGAAGCCTCGACATACGTTGGCGCGAAGCCTTTCCATCCAATTTGCAGTGCACGCTCGGTTCAAGTCGTTTTTAGCTACTCGGAGCTCAAACCGCGTCCGAGATTTAGACCGCCTGCACTGGTCTTCTGGCCCACTGCGCCGCAGCGTTCCTGGCGTGTCGCTGCACTCGCGAGCCGAGTAGCCTCGAAACAGTGTGCTCACCATTGAACTGCACGGGCATGTCGTCGACCCAGACGTAGGGCCTGACCCTGAGCGTGCCGTAGTCCGCCTCCACGGGAACCTGCACCACGTCGTCCGGCCGGCCTCGCCGCCACACTGCGAACTGCCCGCGCCGGTGCTGAGCCTCCAGCACCACCTCGCCGGGGCGGAAGTAGCGGGCACCCTCGATGAGAATCTGCGCTGAGGCACGCGATGATGAGGCACCTCGCACAGTGGGCCAGAAGACCGGTGGAGGCGGTCAAAACTCCAGACGCGTTTCGAGCACCAGAGTGGCTGAACAGGACTCGAACCGAACGTGTGACCCCACCAATGGATTCCTCGGTCGGAGAGCAATCCATTGGTGGGGTCACATGTTCGGTTCGAGCCCTGTTTAACCAGGGTCGCTAAATGGGACTCGAACCGAACGTGTGACTCCACCTATGGATTCCTCGTTCGGAGAGCAATCCATTGGTGGGGTCACACGTTCGGTTCGAGCCCCATTCAGTGACTCTGGAGCTCAAAACGCGTCCTGTATTTTGACCTCCTCCACCGGTCTTCTGCACACTAAATGTCATGGGACTTTTTTTGTCCCATGAATGATGCAATTTTAAGCACATCCGGTGGTGATGCAATTTTGTGTCCGCCAGGCGGGACAAATTGTCTAGTGAAAGTACAATTTGCAGCCGGCGTCGGACAAAATGTGTCGCCAGACGGGAACAAAATTGTATCAGCTTCGGATGTGCTTAAAATTGCATAAACCGTGGGACAAAAAAAACGCTAACGCTAACGTGGAAGCAGATGACATTCTAATGAGAATGTTTATTTTAATGTATGCTTGTTTATCACTTCATTCACCAAAATTGACAACTTTCGACTCCTTTCTCCCGATACAGCTGCCGGGCCCTTTCACGTTTACGCTCTCGTTGTGCTCCCTGGGGGGCCATAGCTTAGGCCAATAATTGCCGCTTCGCCTGCTTCTTCCCACATATCTTAGCTGTTACACTTCACACGTGCAACGCGCTCCTTCAAGCTAGCCGGTGACAATGTAGCAGTTGTTGTGCGTGCGGTGCGGTGCCCCCGCTCCCCTCGCCTCGAGCGGCCTGTGGTGTCGCCGGCGGCGGGGCCACGCTGCATCCTGCATCGGTATCAGCCGAGCGAAGCCGACCTAGCTCCGAAGGCGATACGAGCTGAGCAGGCCACGCTTCGGCCCTGCTTGAGAGCCGAGCCGAGCCGGCCGAGCTTTGCCTAGGCCTGCTACGCAGCACGCCGCGCCACAGCGCCCTGCGCTGGCGGCGGGGAGGTAGGGGGGGAGGGGGAGGGGAAGGGGGGGGGGGCTAGGCATCATCATCATCATCATCATCAGCGCTGTTAGGCCTATGCAGACCTTTCATGCCTTTTTCCGGCCCAGGCCGGCTTCACAGGCTTCACGCACTCACGCACGCATGGTCCCGCCCCGCCTCAAGACTATCTCGAGAGTAAAAGCAAGCTGACACCTTCATTACAATTGTATAGCTTGCTTTAGCTTTAGCAACGGTGTCATCTGCTAAAAAGTCCCATTACATTAAGTGTGTGGCCCACTGTGACGCTCACCTTGACGAGGTTCCCGCAGTCCCTGCCGAGGCGGTTGCAGTCCGTGCTCGCCTCGAACGCCAGCGTGCCGTCGCCCCTCACGCCCCACAGCATCACGTTGCTGCAGTTCCGGGCGCCGCACAGGTGCAGCTCGACGTGTTGGTGCACCGTGGCGAACTCCACGCGGGCCGTGACCGAGGCGTTGGCCGGGAGGGCCACCGTGTGGACTGCGGACACCCGGGGGAAAATTACACTGAGAAAGAAGGAGTCACTCTCTATAGAGTCACTATAGAGAGTCACTCTCAGACTGTCATTGACTTTTTGTCCTTTGTTAAAGAGTATTTTACACAGCAATAAAAAGTACTATTTCCCCAATATTTATGTAGGATTTCGTTCGTTATATTGACATAAAGTCAATTTGCTATTGACAAAGAGTCAATACGCAATTGACTTTTAAAAAAAGTCAATAATTGTCAATAATAGTCAATAAATTGTCATCAATGACAATTTAGTCTTTAGAGTGAACAATATTGAACATGGTTACAAAGGAAGTACACTCCACATTTTTGCTGCTTAAAAAACTACACACCGTACCGGATTACATGAGCTCATATGAGACAAGTACGGACGTTCCGTACTTTTTTCCGTACTTCCGCACTGTATTTGTCTGTTCATTCTCCACACAAAAGTACGGAATTTTTTACAGTGTGGCCCCGGGGTTCGTGGCGCACTCACCGTCGCAGCCCTCCTCGTCAGTGCCGTCGGGGCAGTTCCTGTCGCCGTTGCACCGCCAGCCTCCTGGCACGCACTCGCCGCCGCTCCTGCACTGCAAGAACTCATCCGAATCGCAGTCGCCGGCCGCTGCGGACAGAGATGCAGGCACACAACAGTGGCCAGACGCGTTCAGAGTTCCAGAGTCGCTATATGGGGCTCCAACCGAACTTGTGACCCCACCAATGGATTTCTCGGGTGGAGAGCAAAAACCACCGGACATATTGATACGTCATTTCTTTTGCCACTGCCGTACAAAGAAAAGTTTTGTTTAAAACACAGAGTTTAGAGTTTCCGATTAGAGAATACCACGGCACCGTGGTTTCTTGTAATTCAAAAAAATGCTGATATTGACTTTTTATCTTTTGTTACTGGGTTACACAGCAATAAAGAGTACTATTTCCTCAATATCTATGTAAGATTTTGTTCGTTAGATTGACGTAAACACTCTTAAAAGCCTACGAAGCATTTACTTCATAACTACAAAGAAAATGAAGGCATTGTAGAATTGCTTTGTATTATGAAGAAATGCTTCGTATTACAAAGGATTTTGCTTCATAATACGAAGCATTTCTTCGTAGATTTTACAATGCCTTCATTTTCTTCGTATTGCGAAGCGGTTCTTCGTAGAGTTTTTACTGTGAAGTCAATTCACTATTGACAAAGAGTCAATACGCAATTGACTTCTAAAAGAAGTCAATAATTGATGGCAATTTAATCTTTCGAGTGAACAATATTGTGCATGGTTGCACACTGCAAAGCCGGTGGTAAGGTTACTTGCAACAAAATTGGCAAGCCATTTTGAATGCCAAAAATTGGCAAGCTTGGCCTGGAATTTCTCCCCAGCTTGCCAAAATTTGGCAAGCTTGAGAAGATTTCCGACCAAAGTTTGCCAAATTTTGGCATTCAAAACGGCTTGCCAAATTCGTGGCAAGCAAACTTACCACTGGCTTTTAAGTGAAACGTTCGTGTGTACCTTGCGAGACGGCGGCCAGAAGGCCGAGGAGGAATAGGAACTTGTTGGCCATCCTCTGGGAGAACGCGAGCACTACTGCCGGGCTGCTGCGGAGCGGCAAGCCGACTGCGAGGGCAGCGCCGGGCTAGCTGCGATACGGGGGTCAGGGTCACGCGGCATAGACACGCAAAAAAAAAATCTCATTCAACGAAACGTTACTGACAGCAGATGATACTCGTTTGTTTTTTTCCTATATTTTCTGCACCGTAGAGATGTCTTACGGCGAAAGGCTGCACCAACATATTATGGTGGAGATTTCCTCCACAATAGAAACGAAATTCGGCAAAATATCTATAAGGTAAAGTGAATTCTCAATGGAATGTTACGAAGTTAGCTGCACCACCATAATATGGAAACATTTTCACCATATTACGGAGAATCTTCACTGTACAACATTTAGAGAGCGGGCCGAACCGGAAGCCATTGTTGGTCACCGTTCCGCGCAGACTGCGAGCCACTCACGCACCCACCCTTTCACTGTCCCGCCCTGGGCAGCCAGCTCCTACTATTGTTAGGATACACACTTGGTATCTAGACTCTCGAGCGAAAGCTAGCTGACACTTTTATGTGTCTTGTAGTGATCTGGGTATGTTTTGAAGTAGTGAAGGTATCATCTGCTAAAAAAAGAACACGAGGAAAAGTGATGCTTGCTAAGCTGTTTTGATGGACTAAACCAAACCTTATTGTCTACTTAGTGCCTACGTACAAATGCATGCTCGCAAGTACACACTTACAAACGCATGATGGCGGATAGGGTTGGCAAACATAAACAAAATTTATTTTTGAAGTTTCTATTTATGATCGGAATGCGGGGTTCCATCAGATCGTGAACAGAATAAGGATAAGTCCTTTCTTAAAATTCGTTGTTACATGCCCCCTTTGCAGGACTCCTCAACATCTTTTCACATCTCACCATGAAGCGGATGAAGGGAACAACCCAATTTCCACCATTTTTCAACAGAACAAAAACAATTAAACTGTTTGCAAGGAAACCTATAAACAAACGAAAATGTCGCACTGCAAAGCGACCCTGGAGCTCAAAACGCGTCTAGAGCTCTGGCCGCCGGCTGTGCCCAGTCCACGGTCGTGTTTATAACACTTTCCACACACACATGTCGCACTGCACCGTGGCGGCCGGCAGCACGCGCCGCACCGCGGACACCTGTGCACGGCAGGCTGACTCGGAGTGGCTGGCGAACCACCTCCCCAGCACGACCCTGGACACGCGGAGGCCGCACTGGCCCAGCAGGGCGTCCAGGTCGTCGCATCCTACAGGCCACGGCCCGGCCCCCGGAGTGCCGACGTACAGCCACAGCGTCTCCAGCGAGGCACTGTGGGCCCGCAGCAGGGAGGCCAGGGTGGCCCGGGGGAGTCCCAAAACACGCAGCCACTTGAGGACGCCTCGTGGCAGGGCGGGCAGCGCGGGGGGCTGTGCGTCCAGGGCACCGTCGGCGCACAACACCGCCATCCGCCGCAGTACAGGCATTTCGTACGCAGCCAGAAGGTGCTCCTCGCGGGGATTGTTCAGGTCAAGCTCCTCCAGCGTCGGGGCGGCACTCCGCAGCACGTCCAGGGCCCAGGCAGGGTCAGCGTGGCACCACACGTTGGTCATCCGCCGCACCTGCAGACAGACGGCGTCAGCGATACACAGTGCAGACGGTGGCGGCGGAGGCCAAAATTGTAGATGAGCGATTCTCACGTTTCGGGGTAGTTTTGGCGTCTCTGATTTGCCGAAAGTGAGAAATATCCAATTAAGTTTTTCTGATTATTGGGGTCCTGGATGATACTAGAGTTATGGCAATGGTATTTATAGTAAAGACCTTGTACTATCTTCCTAAAAACATGAGCCATAAGGTATTCCCATACGTTTTAGTGGGTGTTTTGATCACGGAAATTACGTTATCACGGAAGTTACAAAGTGTGAAAATCAGCTTAAACGGCTGACTCGGGCTTGCTGTGGCTTAAAAGTCGTTCCAGGGTCAAATGATACTCTAAGCCCGACATATAAGCGGAAAATTTTTTCACCTAGTGCTGCTGCATTATTGGGTAAAGGGTGCCACGGAAGTTACAGGTAATTGTTGATACACGCCATTTTATAATGCTCTAGCCCGCTTTGAGACCGTGTACAGCATCTTAGATTTCCGCGACCCATGCAATTATGTCCCAGGGACTCCACTTTGATGGCTTGTGTCATGGAAAGTTAAAAGTTTGGCTTGGGGAGAAGTCCAGAGCTGCCTTTTCGAAATTTGTGTAGTGAAATTGAATATACGGAGGACATTTTTCGTTGCAGCATAAGTACCTTCGAAAGAAGTCTGGCGTATTGGTCTTCGGTTGAAATTAGCTCGAGACATGCCAAGCTTCGAATCCCCATCGACAGTTGGCAGCATTTTCGAACCACACCGCCACACTGGGGGCGGAAAGTTCGAGTATGTTCTCTTTGGACAATCACGGAAGTTACATTTGGGGTATTCCAAACGCTACGTAGACCAATCCAACGAACGTGAACTTTTCGAAATGTGTGCGTTTAGTGGGCAATGGCCCTCCCTAACATCAGAAACAAATCCCATGTCGATATCTGCGCTCGTTTGGGCACAGGAGTCAGAAGAAACGAAACTACCCCGAAACGTGAGAATCGCTCAGATGCGTTTCGAGCTCCGCAGTCGCTAAGCAGGACTCGGATCGACCGTGTGACCCCACCAATGCACTCTAAATGTCTTGGCGAAAGGCCGCACCACCATCTCATGGTGAAGGTCACCAATGCACTCTAAATGTCTTGGCGAAAGGCCGCACCACCATCTCATGGTGAAGATTTCCTCCATATTACAAACGAAATTCGCCCATATCTACACGGTAGGTGTACGCCAGACCGTGTCTTGTGGCTTCGCGATGATGCGCCAGTTTCGACAATCCACGCCTAGCGTTTACACCTATCTTGGTCTGTGGCGCTTGCTTTCGGCAAGCTGTTACTGAAATTTAAGTTGAAGCAATGAGTAGAGCACTTCGTGGTGAAGGTTTCAAGTTAAATATATCTAAGATGCATACTTTCTCAGACCAAATCAACTTTCCGGGTCAATGTGGAGTTTTGGCCTACCAATTTTTTTATCAAGAGGTCCTCACTAGGAGAGACTCCCTGTAAAATAATTTTGCAATCGGACCAATGACAAAAAACCATTTTCACCTATTTTAGCGCAATTTAAGGTTGAAAAATTTCAAAGTGTCAAAATGCTGCTAAATTAAGGTCCCACTTGCCCAATGCTTTTCTTAAATGAAAGAGCATATTAAAAAGTAATTTTGAGCCACTTTGGAGTCAGCTGACTTTACGCGTTACCCCAATCGTGTAACATTAGAGAATTTTACGCAATTTTCATATCTCAAATACTCCGACTCAGAACTGGACCAAATCAAGCCCAAAGCATCCTTATATAGCCCTAACTAATATCCCAAGTAGTCATCAAAATTATATTTCATTTGTGGATTCTGGAGCCAACTTTATAATCTGAAGTCTTTGTAACTCGATGAATTAACGGTTTTGGACTCTAATGCATATTTTCTCCATCCGAACAACTCAGGTGGGGCTCAAAACAGATTCTTAACTTAAAGGAACTTTCTCTCTTGTAAATGAGCCCAAACCAGCAGGAGGAAGGGGTCAAAATTGCCTTACGACAAATTCGACTATTTTCCGGCAACATTCCTAAAATGTTTCTCGATTAGGGTAACGCTTTAAGTCAGGTGCCTCCAATGTGGCTTTGACATAGCACTATAAGCATCAAAAATCTGTCTTTAGTTAAAAGCAATGAAATGACCACCAGAAAAAAATAATGTTTATCTAATGAGACAGGCCTTTCACCTTATGCTGGAAATGATGTTGACCTTATGCTGGAAATGATGAATTACCTTGTCTTCTTCTGGTGGTCATTTCATTGCTTTTGACTAAAGACAGAGACGTCAGACAGAGGAAAGAGACGTTAGTCAAACGTATCGGCCACACTTGAACATAAACAGTCGTTTGATACTTGTTTGCAGTGCATATGTGTTTCGCGAGCAATATTTGTACAGCTCGGATATAGTTTTGGATCCGAAGAGAGGTTAGTTTCCGGCCAATTTGGCGTCTGCTGGTCTGCTTGCTTCCGGTTCAGGATTCTACGAAAGTACCCTATATACTCGGTGGAATGTTTAAACTCAGCTGCACTACCATAATAGAAAATTTTCACCTATAGAGAATTACCACTTATAGAGAGCGGATTCCTCGTTCGGAGGGCAATCGCAATGGTAAAGTCACACACATGTCCGGTGCGAGTCCCAGTCAGCTACTCTAAGGCTGAAAACGCGTCGAAATTTTGGCAGCCTCCACATGTCTTCTGGCCAACTCGAGGGGTCCTATTCAAAAGATCTTATAGTGCGGAGGTTAAGCGTACCAACCTTGCAAATTGTGATAGAGCTTTGCTATTTGGCACGAGTGTTTTTAGGACCAATATCTTGTTTTTCACCCGTGGGGGCATGTCTGATTCCGATGCAGAGCCCCGGAATGGGTCAAAATCGGCGTTTTAGCCGTTTTTCTGCAATTTTGTTCGGTGTAAAACTCCTGAACGCCTCCAAATTTGGGCTATGCATAAAGTGCTTATTCTGAACTTAGTGGTGACCCTACGGATGCAACATGAACCCGGCGGAACCGTCAATCGTCCATATACAGGGTCAAAACAGCAATTTTATCGGAAGTTGCACCACACGTTTTTGCGTCTTGCCGTCCCACAGTTCGTGCTGTGCAATTGGGACGATCCTATTGTCGGATTCTAATTGAAATTGTTGGCCAACCGAGTGCAGGTTACTTACGAAGTGAAGAACCGCATTTAAGAGGGATGAAAACATTCACCCCGACGATTCATTAGCAGATTCGAAGTTCCAAACGCCCCCTGCGTCGTAAAAGCATCGAGAGCTGGTATGTTGCTCATTACGTGCCACGATCAGCGTTTGTATTCGTAATGAAGGGGTGCAGAACAGAAAGATAACATTAAGTTACGCAAGACGTCTTTTATACCGCCTGGTGCCTTCACTCTTAATGTCTTAGGAAGGAATTTTCCTTTATACGAAGGGAACAGCGCGGGCATACTACGAAGGTGGTTTTTCTTAGAACCTTACTATGAAAATGCTAAACATATGCGTATAAACACTTCCACCGAGTCTAGAAGAAGAATAACCAAAGCCGCACATAGTCCTTACAAGTCGCCTGTTTGTTAATCTTATATGTTCGTTAGGGTTCTTAAAATGGATAAAACTTACCTGGATGAGTTTTGTCACTGACATGTTTTTCTGTGAAAACCCTCAAAACATTCAAATAAGATGTTTTTGGGAACTGTTTCCGGTGATTTATATGACCATTGTTCTTCACTTGGCGTTCTAGTGGAAGTGTCTATAACGAAGAAACATTGATTCGTATAGGGTACATTCGTAGAATCCTGAGCCGGAAGCAAGCAGACCAGCAGACGCCAAAATGGGCCGGAAACTAACCTCTCTTCGGATCCAAAACTATAGCCGAACTGTACAAATATTGCTCGCGAAACACATATGCACTGCAAACAAGTATCAAACAACTGTTTATGTTCAAGTGTGCACTCTGAGAAAAAATGACGGTAAATCCTGGATAATTTTTTTGCCAAACTTTACCGTACTTCAAAAACCAGTATCCTCCGTACAGTCTACAGTATTTACCGTACTTGTTTTACAAAATATTCCGTAGTCTTTTAACAGTAGTTACCGTTCTTCCGTACAGTCCATGCCGTAGGAAAGACCAGATCTGGTCCCAACAAAGGCCGCTTCCAAGAAGTGTCCACATCAGGATCTTGAAAAAAGGGGGTCGACCGACTGAAAAATTTTATTGCACCTTTCAATAGGTCTCGTCAAGACCTTTCTAACGAGTGGTCGGAAGAGGGGTCCAGGAGTCCGACTTCAGCAGTTGCGTACATCAGGAACTTGGAAAAAGAGGGTCAATCGACTGAACAAAATTATAGCAGTTTTTGATAGGTATTAAAAGTACGGGATTGCCGGGTAAAAAAGTACGGGATTCCCTGTAAAAAAGGTACGGTGTTTCCTGTATAAAAAAGTACGGTATTGCCTGTAAAAAAAACGACGGAATTGCCTGTTAAAAAAAGTACGGTGAAGTCTGGAGTAATCAGTACTGGATTTACCGCGATCTTTTCTCGCAGTGTGGGCGATACGTTTGACGAACGTCTCTTTCCCATGTCAAGTTTGGATCTACTTCCGCCAACATGGCGTCTGTGTGCTTCCGGTTCAGGGATCTACGAAAGTACCCTATTGTAAGGGGACCCCTTGTCTCATGAAGTAACATAGCTTCAACTTCATCCTGAGACATTTAGAGTGTTGGGAACATCGCTTTGAAACATCGCGGAGTGAAAGGATTTAACGAAGCTATTTAACTTTTGTTATTAAGTGAATAAGAATTCTAGACGTTTACAATACGCATTTTTGTAGTATTTGTGATTCAAAAATGATTTTTTTAAATTTCTATTTACTATGTTGTCACGGGGTTTTATAAAAATCATTGACAAGGGAAGAAAATATATTGCAGTTACAGTTGTTTTGGTTACTTTCTTTTAATAGTTAAACATATTTTTTGTTAAATCTTGTTGTTAAAGTTCCGGAGTGTGCTGGTCAAACTCGGAAGATTATAAATGATTTTTTTCTTCTTTGTTTTGGAAAACGTAACTTTACTGGAACGTGGTAAACGGATCAGATATTGGTGATTTCATGTACAATAGTTTAATTTGGCAAAATCTCATGATTTTTGGATTTAAAAACTGGCTGTCAATAGTTGACGTAACTTTGTGCGTGAACATAGTGATGACTCCACTGCTGTTAGAAGACTAACTGAAATGATACAAATTACTGCTGTAAAAGAAAGTGCATATCAAAATTCTTTATATCGATTCTAATGAAATATAATTACATACAACTACATTGGTTACTTACGTGTTGTAGACGCACTCCTGACAGCCGTAGTCTACGCTCCCAGGCGCCCTACTCGGCCTTATAATGAAAGGTGAATATCTCATCACGGGATCCTGAAAAACTACCGCTTGAAGCTAAAACTGAAAAAAAAAGGGAATTAGAACAGTTGCAAGTATAATGGAAACACTTTTTACGGGCTAGTCTGACACCCCTCAAGGCATACACTGATACACGGCATCTCAGGTTGTGTGCAACAATAATCTATCACAGTACAGAACGTATGGACCGTCCAGGCAGGGACAACAGCTTCAAAACGTCAAAAAATAAACAAAGAAAACACCCAAAATCGATAAAAGTGGCATGTTGAGACCTTTGTGGGGTCGGGAACGGTCCCGACGGAGCTCTCATGCATCTTAAAGTTCCCCACCGAGTTCGGAAAGTCGAAAGGAACCATCGTACAGATATAGGGTCGTCAAGCGTTTCAATTGGAGGCTTGACTGCAAAGAACGTTAAAAAAACAGCAAAATGTAGCAAAGAAAGCCCTATTCTGACCTCTTGCATCGGTTCCCGACATGCCCCCACGACTAAATTCAAAGATATTGGTCCTAAAAACACTCGTGCCAAACCGCATAGCTCTATCACAATTTGCAAGGTTGCTGCGAAACATGGCGCTTAACCTCCGTACTATTATCTGCGCGTTCCGCCCAAGACAATCTTATCTTAAACGCAGGCAAATTTCAGTCAGTTTGATCATTTGATACAGCTACAAACCAACATAATTTGTGATTAAATTCACTGAAATGTAAAGATGACAGATCAAAGAAACCAATAGTGCATGCAGAAATATATCCCGCTTACTCTAGTACCCATCGCAAATGGTCAAACTGAGTGAAATTCGCCTGCGTTTAAGATAAGATTGTCTTGGGGGGAAACGCGTAGATAAGATCTTTTGAATAGGACCCCTCGAACTGTGCTGAGGCGTGGAGTCCGCGAAGCTTCACGTAGTCCATAGAAGCCGTACTCACCCCATACTGGCGCACGCGGGCCAGCATGTCTTCTTTGTCTTCTTGAAAAATGTCGTGTGGATTGTCACTAAGACGGCGCAAGTCCAGCGTCTCAATGCAGTTCTGGATCGCGGGTGGAGCGGGCGCAACCACGTCAACTGGCTGCGGGATGACTTCTGTCGACACATAAAGGTATGCGCAGTGGGCCAGAAGACGGGTGGAGGCGGCCAAACTCGCCGACGCATTTTGATCTCCAGAGTCACTAAATGGGACTCAAACGACTCAAACCGTAAGTATGACCCCAGCAATGGACTGCTCTTCGAACGAGGAACTCATTCGTGGGGCCACACGCTCGTCAGCGACTCTCAGCCTCAAAACGCCTCTACAGCTTTTGCCGCTTCCACCGGTCCTCTGGCCTGCTGTGCAAGGCGCGTGTTTCATTTGAAGTGTTCGGATTCCCTATTGACATTGCATCACTGTAAAACCAAACGTGGACAACTCACTAGGGGCACGCGCCGTTTAGTTTGGGCGCGTAGTAGGCGAGCGATGCGTCTGAACACATTCTTGTAGGAGATGGCAAAGAGTGGAGAATAAGGCCAATACAGTGTCTTCCGTAACGAAAGGGCCGGAATTAATGTCATTTTCGTGATTATCTTACTGAAAACTGCAGGAAACTATGTGAAGCTCGACTTCAAAATTTTGGTCCGAAATTGGTAAATTTTGGGAAAAGTAAAGGTCTGGGATGAAATTGGAAGTCATTTTCGTGATCAGCACACCAAACACTGCAGGAAATTGTGAAAAACTCGACTATAGAATTTTGGTCCGAAAATGGTAAATATTTGGAAAAGTAAAGGTCTGGGATGAAATTGGAAGTCATTTTCGTGATCGGCGCACCAAAAACTGCAGGAAACTGTGAAAAACTCGACTATAGAATTTTGGTCCGAAATTGGTAAATTTTGGGAAAAGTAAAGGTCTGGGATGAAATTGGAAGTCATTTTCGTGATCAGAACACCAAAAACTGCAGGAGACTATGTAAAACTCGACTTGAAAATTTTAATCCGAAATTGGTAAATTTTGGGAAAAGTAAAGGTCTGGGATGAAATTGGAAGTCATTTTCGTGATCAGCGCACCAAAAACTGCAGGAAACTATGTAAAACTCGACTTAAAAAATTTGGTCCGAAATTGGTAAGTTTAGGGAAAAGTAAAGGTCTGGAGTGAAAATAAAAGTCATTTTTGTGATCAGCACACCAAATACTGCAGGAAACAATGACTCACTGAGAAAATTCTGGTCCAAAATCATGTAATTCTAGTTGGGTAAAATTCAAGGGGATTGACACGACCTGAACCTCATGTCGTCAGAACTTGATGAAAGTTGGCTCAAATGTTACCCCCATAGGGGTAAGTAAGCCCACAAAATTTGAACCCTCTAGCTCAACTAACATGGGCGCAGTGAGCAATCTAATTTTCGCCTGAAAGTCATTTTCACCTTTTTCAGCAAAATGCACATTTTTGGAAAAGTCGTCGCGCTGGCCGCCCCGACGGCCTTTCCTCCGCCTGATCGACGTTCCTAGACTCAAAATTGTCTGGGGAATCCGAATCTGGCGTCGGTTTTCCGATAGCGTTGCGATAAAAATCCAAAAATGGCACTTTTTTACGGAAATTTAGTTATTTTAGGGGTTCACGCGACAGGCCGTATCCACTAGCCCCCAATCTAAACATGCCCGTTTCAACTTTTTTTCAGTTAAGGGACACCATAAGCTTACTTTTAAGATGGGCCCCGATATTGTGTATGGGTCTCGTTTAGGAACTAGCCCTATGCCCAACTTTTGACTTTTTCCCTAAAACTTGTTTCTCTATGAAACCTTTAAAAAGGCATGGCCTCCTCAAAAAACGTCCTAGGCGGCAAATAAAGTAGTCTAACGGACGCAGAATTTCCCGAGGATCACGATGCTGCACGTGCATTTGAGTTTAGGGGCCTCAAACACAGTCAAAACTACAAAAAACAACAAATTTATGTTAAATGCCACAAAATGTTGAACGGCAATTACGACCCTTTTCCCCGTCGCAAGGCCGCTTTCCCGTTGCCTACTCGGACTCCTTGGAGTTTCCACTTTGAGAATAAGCAGGAAAGGGTCAGCAGCCCACACTGGAAACTGCGGATTTCCCCGTAAGGGCGAGGCACCGCGCCGCCCAGGTGGGCAACCAGTTTGACGCACCCCTTGGCCACAGGCAGTGGAGGTCGCGCGCGCCGCCCGGGTAGGCATAGGCGGTGGGCCTCACGGAAAAAAGCTGTACGTCATGACCAGATATTGAGCTTTTGCACAGTTGTAGTATGGACGTATAGTTACAATTTTGGCTGGAGAGGCAATTGATTCGTCCCCTATGATTCCA